GGTTGGATTCCTCCTGATGCCACAGTCAGTTGAATGGGGGGGATCAATCTGTCCCCCAAGGAAGCTACTCAATTTGACCTTTTTTTGTCCTTCCCAGTCTATTCTCACCCTTGACTCCTTCACCATTGAATTCGTTTTTTTCCTCTCCCCATGGCAAAGGGGCAGCCCAGCACTGACTGTGCTCCTGCACAGAGCTCACCCCTTCAGGACACCCTTCAGGGACCTGCTCCAGCCCCGCTCCCTGCCTGCAAATCCAGCGGCACTATCAGTGCACCCGAGAGTGCGCACTGATCGTGCACCTGAGCCCCAGCAGAGCCGCAGGGCTAGCTTCAAATGGCCTGGGCACCGCAGTCATTTCATCTTCTGCGCCAGGAGGCTGGGATTATGTCAGTGAGCGACCGGTTGTGGACTTCTGGACCCTGGGAAGGATGAGCAGGGCTGCAGGGCTGTTTCTGAAGGCTGCAGCATCCTCTGGCGGAGCTGCAAGGAAAGGATTGCTGCCCAGGGGAGAGGCGCGATGAGGTTTTGTCTCGCATTGCCGGGACAGTTTAGGGCCTCTTGAAATGCGCCCCAGTGTCACTCAATCTGCAACGTGACCTTTGGAAGAGTTTTAAGAACAAGTCTTCTGTGGGGGCCTTCATGCACGCCCCAGGTTTTAGGGAATGGCTTCTCGTGGCCAGTCGCTGTGTCTGACCTCGCGCTGTGTCAGCGTCCGCAGCCCAGCTCCCTCCACGTGCTTGCCCTTTGGTGCAGGAGGCTCCCTGGGGGCTTTGGAGAGGAAGAGGCAGCCCAGCAATTAGCCTGGCACTGGGGGGACCGCGCTGCCACTCCTCCCTTCGCTTGGAGATGACCTCGGGCAAGTGTCTGCAAACCTCCTGGTGCCCGAGGGTCAGGACCGGTGTTCACAGGGGAGTAACCTGGTCCCAAACATCTCCCTTCTTCCTGCTCTGTCACCACAGTCAAAGCCCACAGCATTCACTCCCAGGCAAAGGAGGTAGATAAAATCTGGGTTCCCAGGCTGTGATTCTTTCCTAGGACATTGCAGTGTTTAGGCTTAAAAGGACAAAATGGATGTCTGTGTCCTGCTTTATTGCAGCAGCCCTGTGTCGAGATCTCTCATCCCACACAGGGCACTTGAGTTCAGTGTTTTCCTCAGGCCGAGAGGATCCAGAAGCCTCTCTCCCACCTCGCAGCTGTTTCATCCCTCCTGTTGAAACACTGCATAGAATGGTTTGTGATTCAGAGAGGGTGAGTAAGTCACCTGCCCTCTCTCTCTCTTACAAACAATTAGGATGCTCAACAGGAATGAGGGAGATGGGGCTTGATCTTCTGCTCTAAGAAGCCATGGGGAAACATGCATGAGCAACCCCAAAGTGCAGCAGAGCACCCAGGACATGTGGAGGGTCAAGGCCCTCTCCTCCGACCTCAGAAACAAACCACTGGCAGCATGAAATCCAGCCTGCCCTGCTCCCCGGGGGTCTCCAGCGTGTGAAAGCAGCCTTCAGAGATTTCCTCCAAAGTGGGCCCACAAAGACTGACACACAGCACAACCCTGTGCAACGGCGCTGCCAACTTTTTGTAGTAATTCACTCAATCCTTGCGAAAGCAAGGCTAAATTGGACAGGAGTCTGTACTTCATCTTCTCTCCCAACTCCTCTGGGTGAGAACTGTTGAGCAGACCAGGTTTCAGATAAAGTAAAAGCAAACACCATTCCCTTGTGCTAAGATACAGGAATATTATCCTGACATTTTAGCATGGATCACTCATATTGCTGCTCATTCTTTCCGCTCCGAGAGCTGTATCTTGACAATAGAAACATTCTCCCAGTACAAACAAAATAATCAGTGCTGAAAACCAAATTCGTGGTGGAAGCACGCACTCCTCAGTGGGAAATATCTGTCAGGCGAGATTTACCTCTTGGCCTATATGAGCCTGAGCAAGTTGAATTTCCGTTAGTTATTTTTATTCTAAATATTTTTATTCTTTCTTTCCTGCGGTAGTCTTGTTTCCATATAACTGTGTGAATATTTTCTAATATCTGGCCAGTAGCCTGGTAATTATAGGATCCAGGTTCAAATTTGTGTGATAGAAGTACAGAAAAGAAAGGTAAACAGCATGATAAGTTCCAGCTGATGTTGGCATCTTGGTGAGATTTTTAATTGAGGAATTTATTTTATGTTACCTCGAGGAATTACAATCAGCATCCAACATTCTTACAAGACATTAAAATGTAAAGATTAAAATAAATAAATAAATAAGCTTTCCAGGAGGACTTTATCTGTGATTTGTCTTGGAGACGAGATTTGTGTGTTTTAGTACTTGGCAGCCCACTGAGTGACTTGTCATGTCCATCAGCTGTTTAAAATCACTTCACGTGATAAAGGACAGCTTGGCGTGCTAGCGCCTGTCTAGATGACCATAACACTGAGTTATGGATGAAAAACAGTGGCTTGCCCTGCAGGAGCAGTGGTTGTGTGAGATGCAAGCCTCTCTTTGTACTTCTGCTAAGCCCGGATTTACCCCACCAAAGCTTAAGCACTTAGGTTAGATCCACAGCCATTATAAACTCTAATCACTGGAAATAATCAGCAGCTATCCATACTGGGAGGTGTGGATCTCATTGTGGATCTCATATCCATACTGGGAGGGCTGGATCTCATTGGCAGAGCAAGCTGGGCTGTGAGATGAGTGAAGGCATTTACTGATTCTGAGGAACAACATGCGGAACCGTTGGCAATGTGAGCACTTTAACCAGATCCTACTTGAGTTCTGGGTGAAAACAGAGCCCCTTAGGGCCCAGAGCCACTTGACAAAGATACCTTTTCCTGGCCTTCTCTGGAGGTAACTCATGACAGGGCTGTGTCTTCTGCAACGGAGCAAGAGATGCATTGACAGGGCCTCCAGGCAGGACTACCTGCCTGTCAGTGGCCGGACAGCTCCAGATAGGTCAGTGCCCTTTGCACGGTCATGGGCGATTTCAAATCCAGTCACAAAACACATTTGCTGAGGTGCTGCTTTTCAGTTTTGGGTGGTTTCTCTGTTTAATGGTTTTAGCACTAATAGCCTTCAATGGCAGATGCAGTCTTTGGGATGTGTTTGGACGAGAACAGTGAAACAGTTCATTTGGAAAACGTGAAAACAAATTGGTTTTGATTCAATTGCATTTTTTTTCAGTGTTGTGGAAAGAATTGAACAAAAGCTATGTAAATTAATGCATTTTTTTCAACCAGCCCTTGCTAGTGAAGATATATATGAATCACTGGAAAAACAACGTCCCCACAGAAACTGTTCGCTTCACTGTTGTCCAGCCTGGCGATGTAGACGGACAGTAAAGTACCAAATGCAAGTGAACGAAGTCCTGGCAGCCAGCTTGAAACCATTTTCAGAACTGGGGCCCTGAAACCTGATCTTCTGGAAGATTTCAACAAAGCTGGCTTGCTTTCTCACGGGAACAAAATGCTTTCACACAACTTGCATGAACGCGCTGCCCTGAGATTTGAGATTTTCTTTCTGAGTGTCAGAAAACATTTTAAAGCCACTTATTTCCTCATTTCCCTGTTGTCTACCCATATTAGGAGAAATCTCCCATCTCTCGTCTTCCCTGAGCAAGATGGTACTGAGGGCCACCTGTGAATCTCTCTTATATGAGGAAAACTAGAACAGAAGTAAAGGAGACATTGGTGGGTTTAGGAGTTAGGAGAATACAATAACTCAGTAACCTTTTAGAAAAGAATTTACTAACTTTTAGAAAAGGGGGAACTGAGAGAGGGAGTTAGGGGCAAGTAGAGATAGAGTGCTGACAGCATGAAATTAGGATGGTGCAAATTAATTAAAGCAAGAAGCTTTGGGCCCCTTTACCAAGGTCAGTCTCCTAATAAGAGTGTGAGCCCATCTTAAGAAACTGGTACAAATTGGTCCTGCAGATGGACAAGAGCCAGGGAGCAACTGAGTGCGCAAAGACGAGAGGTCAAGGAGCGGTGACGAGGAAGAGTCATCAATCTTCATCCCCACGACCCCTGACGACCGCCATCAGAATACACTGTGCAAGCGCAGATGGGAGGAATTGGAACTAATTTTAATATGAAGCGGGGACAGGTTATGGTTATGTATAGGCATATTGTGAAACTTCATGCATATGTAACTCTTTACTGCGTAAAACCAAGGCAAGTTGCCTGCATCAGGTGAGCATGACTTTGGCAGGACTACCCCCCGTGCTGCCCAGCACTGCATAAACATACCTACTTTACAATCTTACTGATTGTGGAGTCCATTTCTCCACAAATCAGTTTCCTGAAAAAACAGCCCAGAAATAAGTAAGCTCTGGTCCTCAAAATTCCACTTTTGCCTGGGGTACTCTCTGCAGAATAAATCTGTAGGCTGGTCTGTATAAATACGTACAAGCAGGGGGTGCCTCTTACTCTGATAGCCCTGATTGTGGGGCTGCTTGTGGGGTGAGACTCGGCACATTCTTGTGCAGAAATACTTTAACAGCAGAAGCAGTCCAAGGAATGGCTAAAACTGACCCTGCCTGCCATTCTGAGGAATCTGGCGCATCATGCTCGGGAGGCACACAGAGCGTGTCACACTCAGTGCTGAACTGAGCGGTGAGAGACCTCCCTGATGACCCTGGCTAAAGACCAATGAAGCCCCTCTCTAATTAGTGCAGCTGGGGTGCTGCTGCAGGCAGGCACCTCTGGGCATGGGACTGTGCAGCAGGGCAGGTCTCAGCAGGCAGGTGAGCCTGGGGCACGCTGTCCCTGTTCCCTGCCCAGCAGGTGGTTTGTTGCTGCCTGGTTGTGTTGGGTTGTGTATTTGCTTGTTTGTTATTCAGCTGCTGGCTGCACACGCCCTGTCCTTGCCCAGGCTCTTCCTCCCAGACACGACAGGGACAGGGCAAAAGCCCCTCGCCCAAGATGGCGGCCGGCTCCTGACACGCCGCTCCCTCACTCAACATGGCGGCAAAGCCGGCAGGCCGAGATGACGAAGCCAACGGCGGCCATGTTGGTTTCGGGTAGACGGGCCGTACCATCACGCCGAGGCGGCGGGGGGGGCAAGGTGGTTCCTCCCGGGGGCGGTGCGCGGCCGGCTGGAGCGCGGCTGCCGCTACCCAGGCGGGGGGCCAAGGAGCGGGGCCCCGGCGGCAGGGTAAGGGCGGCGGGGAGCCTCGCCGGGGCCTGGGGGGGGGGGCGGCGGGGGCACGGTCCCCCCCCCCGGGGCCCGCCGTGGGGGTGTCCGGGGGCCCCGGGAGCCACCGCCCCTGCGGGGGGGGCCGGGCCGCGGTGCCTCGTGAGGCGTCATGGCGGCGGGGCCCGCCTCGGGGGCGGCCGGGGGGGGGGTCGGGCGTTGTGAGGAGATTCTGAGGAGAATCGGGGCCGGGCCGGGTCCTGTGCTGTGGGATTCAGTTCTGTGACCTGTCATGTTGGTGTTTTTTCCCCCCAGATACATGGGCGTCCATCTCTGCCTTCCTTTTGGCAGGGCTGTGCCTTGTCACGGCAGTTCAGGCTCCGTCCCACTGAAGTTTCTACTTAAGCGTGAACAGTAAAAGTCAAGAAACAGCCCTGTGCTACAAGAACTTACTGTCCCTCGTACAAACACACGTCTCCTGTTTCATTTACTGTGTTAATTACCTCCAGTTAGAGCAGCGCTATTGAGCGTGTCATTGTGTCATACAAAAGTGGTGTGGCACAGAACAAATGTAAATCCTTCCTTGGGGTTGGAGCTTCTCTTGGGCTTTATTTTTGAGCACAGCTGGATTTATTCCCGTGGTTTTGAATAGAAGACCGGAATTGAATAGACACGGCTTTTGCAGTGGTTCATTCAGGCTAATGATGTTCTGGGAATGTTGCATACTTACAAACTCTTTAAAGAGTTTCGTTTTTTTTTTATTATTATTATCAGGCAAAAAGTTGAAAGAAGGTACAAACAAACTGAAATTTCAATCTGTGGGGAAAAAAAAAAAAAAAAAAAAGTTGTTGCCATTTAAAATCTTCTCCCAGCAGTCAGCGCCTCAGGCCAGCAGCGTGCTGCCTGGTTGCAGGAGTAGCTTCAGGGCGCAGCAGGATGGTGTTTTGTAGGGCCGTCAGCCTCCTGCCAGCTCTTTCCTGCCTCGGTGATCGGGGTGCCTCTGACAGTGGGGTGTGAGCCCTGCACTCCTCAAGCGGAGCTCGGAGAGGGTTTTTTGGGGTGTGAGAAAACAGGAGGCAGCTGTAGGGTAACAGAGAGCGCTCCCCATGCTGCGCTGCTGCTTCTGCCCCGCTGACCATCCCACGTCACCACCTGGGGTCTTGTTCTGCTGCGCCGTGGGGCTGGGGTGGTGCGTTTCCAGTCCACCAGGGAGGAGAAGTGTTGGTTGTTTCCAGTTTGGGGCCGGCTCAAGCAGGAGATGGTGAAGCTCCGGGAACGCTTGCTTGATAGATGCAGTCGGGAGACAGGATTGTGCAGACCAGGGTGTCTTGTTCTCGTAAATGGAGCGACAGAGTGAAGGCTGATACTAATAATGGTGCTGGCGTCATCTCTTCTGTTCAGTTACTGGTTGTAATTTCAAGCCGACGTTAACTCGTAATCCTTAGAGTAAAATGTGTGCTTCTCTGTGATTCAATAAGGGAATGATTTACTACATCTGTTATCCTTGTTTTTGCTGCCCTTGTTTTGGGGGGAGGGGGAATTGCTCACAAATCTTCTCTTGTCATTAAGTTTTAATGAAGTGTAAAAAGTAAGGAGGAAACTGCTTTCCTAATCCACTGGAGAAGCAGCTGCTCCCATACGCCTCAAAGGAATGCAAAATGCTTAGAAACCTTCTATTGACTGAACTTTTGAGGAAGAACAAACAAACAAAAAAAACCCACAACCCTTAGGTGCTGTTCTGATACCGCTGGAACCTTGTGTGCCAATCTTAACCTCATGAAACGAAAACAGGAAAACCAGCTAGTCAGCAGGACGTCGGAAATGTCAAGTCAAATGTTCTCTCCGAGCAGTAACAAAAAGTAGTCACATCTTTTTCTGGGAAAAGAAAAAAAAAAAAAAAACGGCGAGAACTGATCGATCTGTAGTGGTTTTCATTAGAAAGCCGTTTTGGCGTTGATTTAATCTAGAACCGGCTGAGCTAAAGAGATGGTGCTGGAACATACCTCTGCTTGGCTCAGTGTCAGATATCAGCGTTAGCTGGGTTCACATCAGTGTGTGCTGAGAACTTATCGCAGACAGGGATCTGAAAAAGGAGTAGGAGAAAATGCTCATTGATTGCCTTAAGCGCTACTGATCAGTGAGCTGCTGAGCTCTGGGGTCAGCTCTCAGACGGGAGGAAGGATATCGCGTCGGAAAACATGAAGAAGGGCAAGCCAGGCACAGATGGAGTGGCAGCTTTGGTGAATTTGTGGTCTGGGTGTAGGTATTAACCTGTGATCTGTGTTTGTTCCCCCAGCCTGCAAGTGTGCCATGGGAGCCACTGATACACAGAACACCAGCGCAGAGCTGGTGAATGCGGCTATGGGAGAGGAGAGCTGGCGGGTTTGGAAGGTGCCTGCTTGGTCTGCGGGGACTGGGTGGTCACCTAGAGGCTGGGATCTGCTGGCCCCTGCTGTTGCTACAGGGGTAGATGCAAAGTAGTAGGTAGGGCTTATGGCAGGTTGCAAAATTTCAGCCAAAATGAGGTGCAAAACAACAGCACTGCGCATTTACTGACAAGGTTCTTTGCTGCCCAGAAATCCTAAGGCAGAGACTGTGATAATTATTGGACACTTGCAGGATCTGGATCTGAGCAGACCCTTTCTGACAGAATGTAGTCGGTGTTGTTTTGCATATCCCCCCATTTTCAGCTCCTGTGGTCTATTTCAGCACCTGCTTTATTTGTCTTCACTCTTTCTTTTAGCTACTTTTCCGAAATCTTTTTCCTTTAATAACATTTTTGTTTTCTTTTTTTCTGAGTAAACACCTTTGAGGAGCAGGGGAGACAGAAGGTTGCGCACTAGCGAGATGAGAAAGCTGGGATCCCGAGCAGACCCCTGCTTTGGGTGAGGCTTTTCACAGGAGCTCACGGAGGAGAGCACTCAGGATCAAACCCCAGCTGAGTACAAATGTTGAGGTTTCGCATAACTCAGGTGTGCAGGCATTTAAGGTTGAGTAGAAATCATGCCCGTTTCCCCATGAACGTAGCAGTGCACGTTCCTGTGACAGAGGGGTCTTTAGAAAACCAGTTTAAACCTTTAAATGCAGTTCTTAAAGTGTTATTTGGGATGTCACAAGCTATGAATTACTTACTCCTGGCAGATTAGAAGATGATTATCCTCCGTGGTGCTTGCTGCAGCAGCTTGTAATAGGAAGAGCTTCTCAAGGCTCCCTCTTAAGCCTGCTATTCAAACCTATTCACTCTAGGCTACGTATTGTGTTCAGCTTCCTGGTGCTGTGTGTTGAAGATGCATTTGTCTTCTTAATCAGGCACTTTATATCTGCCAGGAATGTATTTAATATAATGTCAAACATAATTCAGATGAGAAGTGAAAGCAAGCACAGCGAGCCAAGCCTAAGCAGAGCCTTTAAGCAATAGCAGGCTACTTGGTCTATTTATTTTGGCCTAGTGTTCCTCCCTGGGTTGTGGATCTGTTGCAAACATGTGCTAAATAACAGGCATTCAGAAATTGCTGCGTCAGGAATATCAGCTTACAGGTATCAGATCGGAACAGCCTGTGTTAGGGGAGCATCTAAAGACCACAGGAAGGGTGCTGGCATCAATTGTCCGTTGTGAGATTTATTGCTCCAGAGTTATCAGTGTCACACGTGTGGGAGTTGAGACAGGAAAGCCATGGAGCTCTCAGACATGTGCATTTTTGTAAGGACATGCAGCCTCTGTCCCTGAGCTGCTGGGAACGTGCCAATTGTTCTTTGACAAATTGTCAGAATGTGAAAAAAAAACACAAAACTTCTGTTTGGTGACTGAGAAGGGGCAAGCAGTTTTGAAATGTTTTTCAAATAAAGTGATCCTACCTTGTCCAAAAAAATATTTATATAAATTGTTTCTAGATATGTAACTTGTCCCTGTCAATTACCTGCATTTTTAAAGTGTGTTTGCTGATGACATTTACATTAACAGAACTAATCTTGAGGTCTTTGCTACTGGCTTTTATATGGGGAATTGGGACACAGCTCCACACTGAGCTTTGTATATAAGTGACTGTTCTATAGGAGTGAAAAGAAAACTCATGGAAGAGGGAGAGCAAGTATTCAAACATTTATCTGTTTTTCTGGCAGGATGGAGAAGAAGAAAATTCTGATGAAATCCAAGGTTGCTGCTCCTAACCTCCTGAGGGCCCTGCATTCCCTGTACCGGTCGGGTCACCTCTGCGATGTGACAATTCACACGCAGCATCTGGGAACTCAGGAGGTGTTTCTGGTTCACAAAGCTGTCTTGGCAGCTTCCAGCAATTATTTCAAAGGACTTTTCCTGCGTGATGAGATGCTGGACACCAAGAATTGCACGGTGACTCTACAAGACATTTGCATGGAAGAGTTTGCCTCTTTTCTGGAGTTCGTGTACACCGCAGAAGTAGAGATTGAAGTGGAAAAACTGCATCGAATGAAGGAAATAGCAGAAAGACTTGAGTGCAAGGATTTGCTTGACGTTTGTGAAGAAGTGAGAGCAGAGGGCAAGAAGGGCTTAGATATGAGCCTCCATCTGCAAGGTTGGCCATGCGAAAATGGATGGAGCACAGCGGCCTCACATCCAGCAGGAAGAGGACCGCAGAGGGAGCAGCTCTTCCCAAGTGATGGCAGGACCCATACAGGGGAAACTCTGGGACAGGCCAAAACATAAAAAGCTGCTGGCTGGTTACGAGCTCATTGAAGGCCAACCAGCAAGTCTGGAGCAGCAGGGCACTGCCTTTCCAGAACCAAAATCCAGGGCAGCAAAGCCACCGAAATGTAACAAGACAGACGCCAGAAGCAGCCTCAGCACGGGTGTCACTAGTCCCGAACACAACAGTCATTCTCCTGCAACTCAGACCGAGTCAAAGGAAGCCTGCGTAGTGATTAGCAATACGCTGCCCGAGCAGTGGGAAGATGAGAACGGTTTAACTTCCAAACCTAGCAGTAAAACAGAACGTAGGAAATCACCGCGGCGCGTGGCCAAAGTCTTGCCACAGATGGCATGCGAGAAGTGCAACGCATCGTTCTGCGTTACCGAGCAGTACCGCTCACACATGGAGCTCCAGCACGGCGTGCATCTGGCTGTCAAGCACAGCTGCAGCGTGTGCCAGCAGCTCTTCTCCAGCCACCAAAACCTCAGGCAGCATCACCTCACCATTCACGGTGAGGAGCGGGGCTTTTCCTGCCTCTTATGTGCCAAGAGGTTTAAGCGCCAGAAGGGCATCAGTGACCATGTCCGGAGGGTACACGAGAAGAAGCAGGAGCCGCAGGCGTGCCCGTACTGCGACAAGGTCATCAGCTCCAAGTGTGGCCTGACGGTCCACATCCGAACGCACACGGGGGAGAAGCCGTACAAATGTGAGCGCTGCCCTGCCAGCTTTGCTCAGAGGTCTGCTTACAACACCCATGTCAGGTACAGTGTTCAGGGAGCGTGTGCGTGTGCCTGTGTGTGCAGAGGAAAACGCATGCTGTGTCTGGGCAGCAGGATGAAAGCATTGCTGCTGAATGCTTCACTTCCAGAATTCCTTGGAGCTGATCAGAAGGGTGTTGAAATCGGCATAGATTTTTGGGGGGTTACTTCACCGGGCTCGCAGTCTGCGTTACGGGATTGAGGTTTCCGAACTGGGAATTCAGGCAAGTGCTTCCTGTTGAATCAAAGACATCTTGTGCAACTGGATCTCCCAAGTGATTTTGGAAGCCTCAAAGTTCAGTTTTTAAATAGGAAGCTGGAAAGGACCAGCACCCGTTTAAAATGCACAAAAAACGTCTTTCCTCTTTCTCTAATGCCAGTGCTTTCTTGATTCTTAATATCTAATTCTCTAGCAATAGATTTCTTAATATCTAATTCTTATCTAAAAAATGGTAATACTAGTAATTCACTCCAGGATGGATTCCAAAATAAAGATGAAGGGAGCTAAATTATTTGAAAATACCATCGGATCAATCAAAAATCTGGTGAAATGGAGAAAGTGGGGGTAAAAGAAGTTACAAGACTGGGTAACTCCTGGTGTCATAAAGTCTTAGAAGTTGTTCCATATTGTTCTTCTGCACTTCTGCTCTGTGCTTTCCAGAGTAAATCCAAGTTGGGACTGTGCTTTATATTTGGGATTATCTGTAGTGCTGAAGAAAGCACAGGTTGTGTGCCATAGGCCCTGAGACAAATGATTTTAAACCTGTACCTGTTAGCCTTTCAAGTGTAGGCTCGGCCTTCCATTGAGGGCACGCTTTAACTCATGCCAAATCCCGGTTTCAGGTAAGCGAGCCATAAGGACTGCTCTTCTCCGAGGCAAGAGAGCTGCTAGTATCTGGTCTTGTTATTTAATAATCAAAGGTCCACCAAGAGGACCTCAAACTGTATTTGATTTTTTTTTAAAAAGCACTTGTTTATTCCATGTTTGGAGACTAAATTCGTAGGGGGTGTAAGAGGCTCTCCAGCACATCCGTGTACTGTAAGGCTCTGTCTGCTGTCCTGACGTGATTTCTGGCAGATTCATGCCTGACCTGCTTTGAGAACCTTGGCAGTTCACGGTCCATGTCCTGACTAGTGGTGAGTAGAGTTAATTGCCTTGACTGGTGGCTTATGAGGGGCTCTGTTCTGGTTTTCCATGTGGGTGGTTACTCTAGATTTCCCTTGTTTTCAGTCGTTAATATCTTACGCTGCCCACCATGGTCTTGGAGGAAAATTTACAGTCCATCCTTGGTTGCTGGTCAGATGGCAACTGAGTGTACTTGAGAGACTCCAACTTTGATGAACTCTGAGACATTTTGGTTTTGTTTAATTGCAAGATCCAACTCCTTGCAAAACTTCCCTGTGTGGCTCTCCCGCCGTGCTGTTAATTCTCAGAATGATGTGAGGAGAGGTTAAAAGGAAACAACCCTTCCTCCAAGACAAACATGCCTGAATTGAAACTATTAAACCTATTGAAGTTGTGCCCTGTTGTTTGTTTGTTTCAACAGAAAAATCCATGAATCTGGGCAAGAGAGGAAACTTTTGCCGGTCTGCTGGATGGTAGCTCCACCTGCACGCAGACCAAGTGCAGCGGGCGGCAGCGAAGACCCTGAGAGGGGGACGTGGAATGGGGCCTCAGAGGCTGAACTACAGAAGTGTGCTGAGCTCAGAGGGGCTGCAAGCCATGAGGAGGAACCTGCTCCCAAGGCAGACGGTAGCAATGAGCAAGAACAGAAGCAGAAGTATAAGGAAGCTGGAGCAAGAAGGGAAAAACTGAGTGAAGAAGGGGATGAAGCTGCAGGTGAAATGAGTGTGAAGGGAGAGGAGGAGGTAGGTTATGAAGCAGGGTATTCAGAAGCTGAAGATGGTAATGAGGATGCCTGTACTGAGGGTGATGGGGGTGAAGAACGCTCTAATGAGAAGAATGCTGAAGAATGTGAATCAGACAAAGACTTTAAAATGAAGAAGGTAAATAAAAATGGGGTGAATAAGAAATCTGCCTATGTAATAACATGTGATAAGTGTAACGAGCAGTTCAGTTTCCCGGAAAAAATATGTGGATCACTGCAGAGATGTCCATCAGTGCTTGCCCGGCAAAGTCTATCAGTGTGATGTCTGCAGCAAGTCGTTTGCTAGCTACAACAGCTGGAAGGAGCATCGAGCTTGTGTCCACAGTGAAGAAAGGCAGTTTGCCTGCACCCTCTGCAATGCCGCTTTTAAAAGGAAGAGAGATGTGAGGACGCATTATGTGCGGAAGCATGAGGGCAGAGTCAAACGCCCTCTCTGCTCCGTCTGTGGGAAGATCCTCAGCTCGCGGACAGCGCTTGTGTTTCATATGCGGACACACACAGGAGAAAAGCCCTACGAATGTGGTGTTTGTCAGGCAAAGTTTGCTCAGCCATCACAGCTTAAGATCCATACCAGGTCAGCCTCCAGTCCTGCTTCTCCCATTACTGCATGCCCAGCGCACTTCTTTTTCCTCCTCTGTCTCCCAGTTCTGAGTCATTCTCCCTCCGTGTCCTTATGACAGGAGTGCAGGGATAGGATGTGATCTGTAATCTGTGATTAATTGTTTTATGTTAAGGTTTTGTCTGCATCTGGTCATTGCATCAGTTTTGGCAGGGATTTTGAAACAGATGCTCTGTCCGAACTTGTCAGCAAAAGCCAGTCACTTGAAACAGGTTTCAAAATCAGACGATGGCCCTCACTGATGAGAAGTGAGCTGAAAAATGAGCCAAGGACTTGGAAACCCAAGAGGAGAGCCCTGCTTTTTCTGTGTCAGTGAGCCAGCCTTTTGGTATGGGATTTCATTTCTTCTGTGTGATACAAGAGCTGGACTTCTCATCTGGGCTCCCTCTGCAGTCAGCGTAACTAGATCGGGTGAATTGCTCCCTGGTGGGGTCCGTGCTAGATGTTTCCTCTCCCGGGAGGGGGTGAATCATCCCATGGAATTTCCCATCTTTTTCCAGAGAGCCTAGCGGGTAGCTCGGAACAGGAGGTGAACTGCAGGAGGGCTAAACTGGGTGAGAGAAATCCCATCCTTTGAGACTGGGCTCGTGTGGTGGGGACGGTAATGTTTTTCTGTCTCCTAAGCATTCTTACAACGATCTAAAAATTGTGAAGTGTGCTGATTGCAGAGTGATAAACTGCGGGGCTGTGTCAGCTGAAAGGCAGCGGGGCTGTGCTGTCACAGGGTAAGACGAGGCCTGAAATTGGGACAAATTGCAACAAAACAGTGACTCACGGGATTTGTGTTGGGTAACTGCCTGTCTCATATCTGCAGCATTCTGCCCAACAACTCAAAATCAGGCGTGATTTTGCAAATCGTGCTGCGTGGGCTGCAGTAAGGAAGGTCAGCACAACGTTAAGATGATAAGTCAGGACCTCTGGCTCAGACATTCTTTGGTATGAGCTGGTTTAAAATCAGGCATCCCAGCACGTGCTTGGAAAAACTTGCTTGACTTTTGCGCCTTTTGACTTGAACTGGGCAGGATATTCCATTTGGAAGCTTGCAAGCCAGAGGCACAGGGCTGTGAGGGATTACGGAGGGCAAGAACGCCACCCGCAGAGTCTGGAGAGAGCTGCTGCTGGCAGCGTGCTGGGGACACTTGGGATGCGTTCAGATGGTAGCACGGCAGCAGCCTGTTGTTGTCTCCTTTCCAGTACTTACACTGCAAACTGCAACCTGTGAGAGAAAGGTGGATTTTTCAAGGGCCTTAGAGTGAGGAAAAAGGTAAATCCTTAAACGAGAAAGCTTTACATAGCACCAGTACTGGTAAACGTTCTCTCTCCTGACTGAGCAGAAGGTGTTTTTCCCAGTGACCTTCCTCTGACAAAACCAGGCGTGCTTCTGTACTGTGTAGTGCGTAACTTCAAGCAGCAAGTCTTAAAAACACCCTGTGGGAGCCATTTTATTAACAGGCCTTTGTGTTTCGCTTCATTTAGGTCCCATACAGGGGAAAAGCCATATATTTGTGAAGACTGCGGGGCTTGCTTTGCTGATAAAGGGAAACTCACTGGCCACAAAAGGACACATACAGGTGAGCGTTAAAGACTTCTGTCCCTTCCATTGCCTCCTGCTGCTGCCTGAAAAGAGAGAGTAGGGATTTGAAGGTGCATGATTTTTTGTTCACTAGCTCAGAGAAGAAACTTCCAAGTCCTGGGAAGGAACTAACAGGGGTCGAAAGGCATATGAAAACTAACTTTGAGGTAGAGAATTGGAAGTGGCGGGGTGGGGCTGGAGCCTTGTGCGCTGAAAGCGTAGTTAAGGGTTGAGTGAGTGAGGGAGCGTGGTCCCAAGGGACTTCCTACGCAGAGGGCCAAGGACAGCATCAAAGGCTAAACAAAGCCACGAGGAACTCAAATAAACAAAAGCTTAAAATTGTGAAATAAGTAATTCTGGGGAGAAAAATATTTGAATGAGTAAAGAGCATCAGGAAGTTAAACATGCAGAAGGGAACCTTCTGCAGCTCCGAGCCAGGAGGGAGTTTTGGGTGCAGACTGCTGCGAGAATTCAGAGTGCCTTGTGCCTTTTCCCTTGTTCTCAGGAGAGCGCCTCTTCAAATGCGACGTGTGCGGAAAGCACTTTGCCACCAATGAATACCTAAAATGCCATAAACGATGCCACATGGGTGTGAAGCCATACAAGTGTGAGGTTTGTGGGAAGACCGTTTGGCTTGCGAGCCTCGCTGGCTCAGCACAGCAACGTCCATGCAGGTAACGAAACTGTCGGGGCTGGGAAAATGAACGGCACAGAATTTCCAGTCTGAAGGACTTCACAGTTGGGATGGTGACTTTTTTATTCCAGAAACACTGTTATAAGCTCCTTGAGTTAGGCAGTGAGGAGAAGCAGGACTCCTCACGATCCTGACTTGTTAAAAAGTGCAGGGTGCTGCCATATTGAATGGTGCTTGCACAGCACAGACAACTTGGTGCTGCTGGAGAACGTGACTGTAGTTGCTGCATTCCCCTTGCAAGAGCCGTGCTTAGGCTTTGCATCGCAGCCAGGGAAGGCTTAGAAACATTTATCACGTGGCCTTAAAGCCAGGAGAAACATAGCTGGGGCCCTAGGTGCACAGCTTTATCCCAGCATTCATCCTTTCAGCCTTCTGTGTGCTTTTTTTTTCGTGTGCCTGAAATCCAGACCAGAAGAGCCAGCCTTCCAGATCTCTGATTGCAGTTCCCTTGTTTTTCAGAGACCCGCCCGTACTTCTGTGAGCAGTGTGGGAAGACCTTCACCCAGCAGGGCGCCCTGCGGCGCCACCAGCGCATCCACACCGGGGAGAAGCCGTACAAGTGCCGGGCGTGCGAGAGAGCCTTCACCGACATGTCCACGCTGCGCAGACACGTGGCGGTACGTGCGCCCTGCCCGCCTGCTGTGCTGGTGCTGATGCTGATGGGAAATGTTAGAAATGATATCAGAGGCTTGCGTAGTATCCCATAACAGTCACCAGTTCATAAATTTGAGGATTATTTTCTGGTAAATTGACACGAATGAGGGGGAGACTGGGACACGCTGCATCTGTGGTTCAAGCCTTAAATTGCCAGTGCAGGGCCCGGAGGCAGCCAGGACCGTTCTTGATGGCCACGAATTGTTAACACATCCCTCCCAGAAAGACAAAAAGCAATGGAGGGGCGAGGGCTGGGGGCTGCATCCCGGGGGAAGCAGGGGGGTGGTTTATTCAGGCGGGGGGGTTCTGGGGAGCTGCTTTGTTGGGGATTGCGACGGGCGGCCTGCAGGCAGGAGCAGCTCCCAGCCATGACCATAACCATGACCATAACCATGACCCTAACCCTGCCCACAACCGCAGCCCGGCCCCGCTGACCGCCCCCTTCCCGCCCCCCGCAGGTGCACGGCGGCGCGGCCCCGTGGCGCAGTTTCCTGGCGGGCCCCGCGGAGCGCCGCGCGCACAACTGGGCGCGCATCCGCCCGCTGCACGAGCCCGCCCGCGCATGACAACGGGGCGCGAGCGCGCGCGCTTCCGGCCGCCGCCCGCGCCTCAGGAACGGCCCGGGAGCCGCTGGGACGGAGCGGAGCGGGACCGGCACCGCCACCGCCACCGCCCCGTGCACAGGTGAGGGGGATCCGGGGGGCTCTGGGGGGCTCGGGGGTGCAGCCGGGGGGCGCTGGGGCCGGGCGGGGCTGACCCTGAGGGGCGCTGAGCCCGGGGGTGGCGGTGACGGGCACACGGCGGCGTGAGGCGGCAGCTAACGGCCCCGACACGCCCGGACCAACGGCTCCCCAGCCCAACGGCTCCCCGGCGCGGCCAGGAGCTGGCTCCTGGCAGAGGGAGAAGGTTCGGGCCTTGATTTCGCCCTCCCTGCACGGCAGCGCCGTGTCTGCACGTGATGGTAGGTGGGAAGAGGATAGGCACTTCGTGAGTAGTTAAAATAATGGTGTTAGGGGAGAAAAAAAAAGAAAAAAAAAAAAAAAAAAAAGGTGAAGTTCCACCGCTGCTGGTTATTTCAGGTGAGGCACGCAATGCGTGCTGATGTGTCACGGAAGCAGGAGAAGGAAAGGCCTGGGTAGGTACAGGTACAGAGAGGGGAAATTAACTTTAAAAACATTATTTTCTGATTATTAATGTGTCATCCTTTCAGCCAGGAGGCAAATCACATCATTCATTTAAAAAAAAAGTCTGTCAAAACCAAAGCATAGCACTGGGTTGTAAAAGTGGGCGACGTTGTGAGATGTTCACCGTGCTCTGAGCTGGTGGAGTAGAGGAGTACCTTCTCTGTCATCGTCGTCTCCTGTTGAGGTCTAGTAAGCCTAATGCGGTAACAGATTTTTTTAGGTATTTGTTATAATAGTGCCAGGGTAACTATTTCAGAACTTCAATATTAAACTTACAGAGCTAAAGACTCACAGGTTAGGAAATAAGGAGGCTGTGGTTCTCAGGATGACCTTTTCCTGTAGAATCCGGGATGGAGGTTTGAGCACCTGAGGTGGATTGTGTGTGCTCTTCTCCGAATACTGCTCTCCTGTCTCTTTATCACATAGTAGAGCTTCATTACAGTTAATATAAATTGTGCTCCACTTGAAAACTTGGTTCTGTTCTTCTGAGCAAGATTTCTAGTATCTCATGTATAAAACACTGCAAATCTACTGTACCTGAGATTGGACAGGGAAAATAAACTTTCCTGTTGGGAAGTGGAAAGAATTTTTTCAGATACAAAATGCGGGCGTCCAGTAGTTAGACAGTGAAAGGCAGTGTATTGCCCGGCCAGGCTTTGCTGGCTTTGCAAACACTGTTTGTTTCTGTGAAACAGAAAAAAACGGTTCCCTTGAGAACTTTGGAGCAACTTAAAACGTTGGCTGGAAAAAAAGTACCAACCAAGTGGTTTTGGAAATGGCGAAGCCCTGGTAGGACTGCACATGGGCATTCAGAAAGTGGGGGCTGTAAGTCTGAGTGAGGGATTGCTTCACAAAAGACACCACTTTGGGAAGGTTTGGGGTTCCTTGGGTTTACAATCTGACAATATATTTATGCGGTTTCCTTTGCCTGAGTCAGGCAGGCTTTCAGGAGTTTATCCAAATCTTGTTTAAAAGTCTTATCGGAAAAGGCTGTTTAAGGAAGTATTTAATTAGGATTGCAGGTCACTTAAACTCACCTTTCTCCTACTGCCTGATTAGGAGGGACAACAGTTTCTTAGTTAGGCATGCCTTAATGAAAACGTTTCTTTTGATTTTTCTCTGTTTGCTTTGTCCCTGTTATGCTTTCTAATACTGTCTGGTGTTTCAGGTAAAGTTACAGTTGAGATTTAAAATCAAAGTAACTTCTGAGAAATCCGTGTGTGACTGGCAGAGTGTTCTTAGTGTACTGGGGCTGGCTGGAATGTTAACTTTCCCGGCAGCAGCCCATACAGTGCCGTACTCTGTACTTGTAGCTGGAACAGCAGTGTTATCACACCAGTGTTGTGTCTATTGCTGAGCAGCACTGGCACAGCATTGGGCCTTTCTCTAACCCTCCTAGGGGGTGGGCAAAAAGTGAGGAGAGAAACATCACTAGGGCAGCTGACCTAAACCAATCAAAGGGATATTCCATACCATGTGATGTCACACTCAGCAAGAAAAGGTGGAAACAGGAAGAAGAGGGGAGGGGTGGGCTCTCATTGGGAAAACAGTCGGTCCTCCTCTCGAACACCGGCTGCGTGCGTTGAGGCCTTGCTTCAAGGACGTGGTCAATCATCACTCATTTGTGGGAAGTAGAGAGTAATTTCTTTCCTCTGCACTTCCATATAGCCTTCATTTATTTTGTTTGTTTGTTTTCCTCCCTTCTCTTTATTTTCCCTTTTCCCCTCCCTTTTCCCCTTTCCCTTTTTATTTCCCATCAGTTAAATTGTTTAGTTCATGGTAGTCTTTATTTAATTATTATAATTATTTCCCTTTAATTAAATTATCCTTATCTCAACCCGTGAGTTGTTCTTTGCTTTACTTCTCCCCCTCCTCATCTAAAGGAGGGGGAGTGAGAGAGCGGTTGTGGGGTTTAGCTGCCCAGCATGGTAAAACCACCACAGCATTACCGCTCAGGGGGGTGCTTTGGGAGTCCTGTCAGTGCTTCCAGACAGACCATGCTCCTTTGACAGCCCGGTCGCTTATGCTCGGGCACCTGAGGTGCTTGAATCTGTCGTGAAACGCGCTCAGAAATCTGGATGGGACTTGTGGCTGCTCAGGTCTCTGGGTTTGATCAGCTTCCTGCTAATTAACGCGCAGTGTTGTTAACAGCCTTTTGCAGGGAGCAGCAAGATGGAAAGCAACGCGGTTCTCCTGGAGTCCAAGTCATCCCCCATCAACCTGCTGAATGAGATGCATCAGCTGCGCCTCCTGGGCCACCTCTGTGATGTGACGGTCAGCGTGGAGTACCAGGGCGTCAGGGCAGAGTTCGTGGCTCACAAGGCTGTGCTGGCAGCAACCAGTAAGTTCTTCAAGGAAGTGTTCCTTAACGAGAAGAGCGTGGACGGCCCGAGAACCAATGTCTTCTTGAATGAGGTGCAGGTTGCTGACTTTGCCTCGTTTCTGGAGTTTGTCTACACTGCTAAGGTAGAGGTAGAAGAGGACAGAGTGCAGCGGATGCTCGAGATAGCCGAAAAGCTGAAGTGCTTGGACCTCTCAGAAACCTGCTTCCAACTGAAGAAGCAGATGCTTGAGTCGGTGCTTTTGGAGCTGCAAAACTTCTCTGAATCACAGAACTCGGAGGAAGAGAGTACAGCCCAGCTGAGTGTTTTGCAGGAGTCCAAAGCAGCTGCTGTGGCAGAAGCTGTCCGGGCCGACCATCCTCTGGATCCTCCGGATTCCCCAGCAGACAGGCCCAGAAATGGAGTGCTCCCTGAGGTGTCGGCTGCCAAATCCAAGGAGAAAATGGACAAAAAGAAGGAAATGATGAAGCCCCCATATGCCAAAATCAGGAGGGCGAGCGGGAGGCTGGCTGGGAGGAAAGTATTTGTGGAAATTCCAAAGAAGAAGTACACGAGGCGGCTGAGGGAGCAGCAGAAGAATGCCGAGGGTGCTGCAGAAGAGGACAGCTACCCACAGGACCCGGAGGTGTGTGACAGGGAGAGGGAGGAGGAGCAGGCGCAGAACGCCATCAAACCCGAAAGTGAAGAATGCGATGGCAACTTCGAATCGGAGGAAAGCCTGAACAAATCCGAAGAGGATAAGAAGAAACGAGGCAGTAACTTCAAGTGCAGCACGTGTGAGAAGGAATTCCTGTACGAGAAGAGCTTCCTCAAGCACATCAAACACAGCCACGGCATCGCAGCCGAAATTATTTATCGGTGTGACACCTGCAGTCAGACCTTTGCCAACCGGTGCAACCTAAAAAGCCATCAGCGCCATGTCCACAGCAGCGAGCGCCACTTCCCTTGTGAGCTCTGCGGTAAGAAGTTCAAGAGGAAGAAGGACGTCAAGAGGCACATTCTCCAGGTTCATGAGGGTGGTGGGGAGCGTCATCAGTGCCAGCAGTGTGGAAAGGGGTTGAGCTCCAAAACTGCCTTGAGGCTCCATGAAAGGACGCATACAGGCGACAAGCCTTATGGGTGCACAGAGTGTGAGGCTAAATTTTCTCAGCCTTCAGCACTTAAAACACACATGAGGTATGAACAGACTTACCTGGCCTTGCTAGATTCTGGGGGGAGAAGCAGAATCCCCTGGATCACACCTTGAACCTTCCAGTGAAGTGGGAATGTGAAACGTGACTGACTGGAAAGCTTCAGTTTTTCCTTTTTCATGGCTTTTCTCCTGCTTTTCAGGTTAAGGGAGTTGCTGTCATTCTCTTTCAGCCAAGTAGAGGTGCACGGGCTGAGGCCTGCTGTTGTGCAGCTAAATTTTGTTGTGGGAGTGCACCTATTGAGGGACGCTTCCCATGAGAAAAGCAACACTGTGCTGAATCATTTGTGTGGTCAGGGCTATAATTATTTCAGCTATGTTGATGCCTCTTTATACTCAGTAACAAAATGTTATGCAGTAAGTACAAAAATACTGTATTAAATGGAAGAACACCAGATTTGGGTGCTAAGCCTAGAAAACAACTGAAATTGGACTGGGAAGAGGCCAGTGTGGCGCTGCCTGCAGGCACCCAGAGCAGAACCGGTGGGGTCAGGTGTAGCACAAACACGCGGGCTCAGGAGTTCCTGGGAGAGGCTCTTTAGCGAGGCGTTGCTTCTGTGTTTCTAAGGGCTGTGCCCTGCTTTTAGCAGTGTCCCAAGGCTGGCGCAGCTGGGTGGGATCTCGTGCTCATCACATGTCCTTCTCCAACCACTGGTCACGGCTTTGTGCTGCTCGCAGCCAGGTGGTTGGCACAGCTGAGCTCCTCCTCCAGCGAGTGCTGCTGCAAGCATTCAGTAAGCCTGCTGAGCGCAGGAAGCTGTGGGCTGCCCTAATGCACGTGCTGTGACAGTCCGTAGGGGGAGTTCTTCATCTTCTCGTAGAAATGTGTACATCTAGGGCTGAGGTCCTGCAGCAGTATTCAAAGGATCCCTGATTTTCACCAGGGGATGAAAATCTAAGCTAGAGGGACCTGGAGACTGGCACAGGCGACAGTTCTGTGCGCTGCTCCTCCTGTACTCAGCTTCCCGGGGGTCAGGAAGGAGGCGTGCCGTGCTGCTCCTTCCAGCTGTGGCCACTCACTCACCTCCTGATGACGGCCCTGCAGGAGCAGCAATCCCATGCTGCGTGGAGTAGTGTACCGGTACTGCCAGTGGCACAGATCTGCTCTTCAGGTCACAAGATGATGACATCTTTCTTGCGGTCTCTCAATTTGAATATAGACTTTTCTAAACCTTACTTAATTTCTAACCTTAACAATTTGCTTTTACTGAAAATAAATAAATAAATAAATATGGATCTGGGCCTTACTTACGCAGCCCAATGCCATCAAAGCAGCCCTGCAGGAAGCACAGAACTGGGCCTGGCCAGAGGTATTTCCAAGGGACAGTGAAGCCTTGTGCAGGCACGCAGCGATTCTTCACAAAGTAAAGACAGCTTGTGCTGTGCTGCAAAGGAGAGAAGTAGACATTGGTCTTTAACGTTGCTTTCTCGTTTCAGAATCCATACTGGTGAAAAACCTTTTGTCTGTGATGAGTGTGGTGCCAGGTTCACTCAGAATCACATGCTAATATATCACAAACGATGCCACACAGGTAAGGCTTCCTTTGACAGTGTGCTGTGTATTGGAGGCAGCCTGCTGTGAAACCAGGAGGTCTGATTTTCATTCCAGAGTCACATGTCCTTCTGGTTTTGATGCAAAACTAGACTTCCTCGTCCCTAGACACAGTTTTTCTGAGAAATGTTCTTACAAGTGGATGAGCAGACAGTGGAAAGAGTAAAAGCAGCTTATTAAAGAGAAAGGAAACTCCCGGCTGCCTGGGATCTGGCACCTAAGTGTGGACTGGGACCACTTTGGGTGTTCATCAGTATCCAAAGATCTAGCATCCATGACAGGTCTGGTTGGATTCTTAAGAAAAAAAGGATTTCCCTGTAAGCCTTGGAAGAGTTGCCCAAGGGATGTAAAACTTGTCTTGGCACTTGCTGGTCTGCTAAGCAATCTTGTTAAAAGTGCGTGTCCTTCTCTCGGGTAGCTTTTGAAGCCTAAATTGGTGTTTGGAATTGATGCTGTGTCCCGCTGGTGAGCTGTGTGTGACATGTGTGCATCTCTAATTGAATCCTCTTAAAACTAGTCTGCTTTCTGCTGGTTAACTAGTAACTGAACATGGCTGGCAGAAAACACTACATGACAAAGAAATGTATTTACAAGAATGCTTTTCCAGAAGTGAATAGCTGCTTACAGGTGGGGGCCTTTGATCTAGAGAGGCGTGGTTCCCCTTGCACTTGGCATGCTTTGTGCAGGCTTCTTGGAAGAAATCTCTGAGCTTTGTGTGAAGATCGCTGCTGTCGCAGTGGGTGCAGATGCTTTGTGAGGTTGGACACGTGGTTCATTTGTGTCCAGGAGCTTTCAGGTTCTTGCATGCGATGTACCATTCGCAAATGCTACCTTGGTTTAACTCTCCTCCTCACCCTTGCTGCAGGAGAAAGGCCTTTTATGTGCGAAACGTGTGGGAAGAGCTTTGCCTCCAAGGAGTACTTGAAGCACCATAACAGAATCCATACTGGATCCAAACCGTTTAAATGTGAAGTCTGCTTCAGAACATTTGCACAGAGGAACTCGCTTTACCAGCATATCAAGGTTCACACAGGTAGGAGGTGCTCTTTATTTTTGTCTGAAACAAACCACCACGGTGTAAAGACTTAGGTCTCCCAGCTGCACAACTCACATGAGGGATTTCTCAATTAGGATTTCCCACTACTTGAATTCCTACCCAGCAAGCATTCAAGTAAGGGCAAGGTTTGATTCTTGATGTAGAATCAAGAATCTTTGCTTCTGCTAGTACCTCCTTGTGCTTTTTCCTGACTCTTAGGGCCAATCTCTAAAATATTCATCCCTGCTTGGGGAATCAGAAATGCTTTTCTCTTTTCTTGTGTGTCCTCTCAAACTCCCCATCATTGAGCAATAACACAGGTTGCAACTGTTTGTGTTATTTTGATTGTGTAGTAAGTCCTGTGCTTTCTTACCCAGCCCCACCCTATAGGCAGCATCCCTGCCTGTGGTCTCCATGCTAACAAAATTCTTGTTTGGCTGCTGTGCCTTGCTCTTTCCTTATTTTGTGGCGTTACTGTAGGGGGAGCAGGGGGCGTCACCAGTAAATAATTAATGCTGACAGGAACATCATCTTGTTCTGGAAGTGGCATCTCTTTTTTCTGTGACACCACTTGCCTGTGTTTCAAAGGTTTTTGGAATCCTCGTTTTTCCCTTAGCTAGGAAAGTAGGAAACAGGAGCCTCTGTAACCCTGTGGTTGTTTCAAAAAGCATTTAATACAGCGAGTGTAATGAGACAGTTTATGACATATTTGGAGTAAACCTTCTGGTTATGAGAAGCTCTAATATTGATGCTCGCACAAATTGCCTTGTAAATAGGCAGAATTTCATTCTGGGACAGGATGTTTAGTTGCTAGTGGAGTAGATAGGTCAGAAGTTGTGGTGGTTTCTGTGGCTGCACAGATCTGTGTGTCAAAGCCGAACCTCCTGTGAGAATCCTGGAGGCACCTCGGTGTTTCCCAAAGGTGTTCTCGGTAGCGCTGATGGAGGCAGGGGCTACGTGAGGTTACCGGGGAGCAGCAGCACCATCCCTGTGTCACCCCCGCTGCTGTGCTCCGCTTCCAGGCGAGCGGCCCTACTGCTGTGACCAGTGCGGGAAGCAGTTCACCCAGCTCAATGCCTTGCAGCGGCACCACCGCATACACACCGGGGAGAAGCCCTTCATGTGCAACGCGTGTGGGCGAACCTTCACGGACAAGTCCACCCTCCGGCGGCACACATCGGTAAGGCTCTGCCCTTCCCTTGCCTTCTGCCCTCGAGCCTTCTTTCACAAGCACGCTGATGGGTCTGTATTCTGCCAGACCTCTGCTCTGCCAGGCCTGGAGGGGATTCCTGCAAGTTTTTGTTGGTTTTAACACATCATCCTCTCTGACAGGGCATTAAAAATAAGCCAGTAGTTGCAGTCTGCAGGGAAGCCATTCTCGATCCACTAGGGCATGGCCCATGTAGGTCACACCAATAGCCTGTTCAGTGGCAGATTTGGTCTGTGTCCTCTGAGCGTGTTCCCCATGCAGCTGGGAAGTGACAGGAGAACTCATTTTCAGGGCCAGGCTTTTTGTTGGGCCAGTTCAGTGCTTTACAAAATCAGAGGAACTCACCAGGGACAGGGGTTAGAACCTTGATGTACGCTGCCCTAGCCTGGGGACAGTTCTGGGGTATGGAAAGGGAGACCTTTTCTACCGGAGCTGGGTTCAGGCTTTTGCCTGCCTTTCATCATGTGTTCAACCTTCTGCTGTTTGTTTTCAGATACACGATAAAAACACACCGTGGAAGTCCTTCCTCGTCATTGTTGAAGGAGCAGCTAAGAACGATGAAGGTCACAAAACAGAGCTCCCAGATGAAGACTACGACGTGTCACCTAAAATGCCAGAGAAGCTGCTGTCTTTCTCAGAAAATGGCCACTATCAGAGCTTGGCTGCTGTCCCAGGGGAGCGTGACTGCACTGCATGACAGCGGCTCTGCACCAGGGACAGACTGTAAGTCAGACGGGACTCCTGGCCCCCAGGAAGCCCTTACAGCTACCACCCTAAGTGAGCTGACAGTACTGCATACGCAGACAGACTCTATTCAGCCACAGCTTCATGCTCTGGTGAATATAGAATAAATTGGTGTGTTGGGTCTGTCTGAGCTGGAGTCACCTTTTCCCTGCAGCAGCCCGCACAGTGCTGTACTCTGCACTTGTGGCTGGAACAGCACTGATATCACTCCAGTGTTGTGTCTATTGCTACGTAGTGCTAGCACAGCATCAGGACTCCTTCCGAGCCCCTAAGAGCCAGCAGGCTGGGGGTGGGCAAGTGATGGGGACGGCACATCGCCAGGGCAGCTGACCTAAACCAACCAAAGGGATATTCACTAATACCTGATGTCACACTCAGCAATAAAAGGGGGGCTCTCGTGGGGGAGGGGGCTGTTCCTCCTGAACAACCACTATGCGTTTTGAGGTCCTGCTTCCCAGGACGTGGCTGAACACCGTTCGCTGATGGGAAGTAGAGAATAACGTTTTTTCCTCTCTCTCTGTGATTCTGCGCAGGACTGATTGTTTCTTTTGTTTCTGTTTTTCCTCCCCATTCCCTTTCCCTTTAACTAAACCTTTCTCATCTCAAACCTCGAGTTCTCTGTGTTGTATTTTCTCCCCCTTCGTCTTTGAGGAGAGGGGGAATGAGAGAGCGGTTGTGGTGGAGCTCGGCTGCCCACCTGAGTAAAACCACCACAGTCCTTTTTGGCTCTAAAGCTCCCCCCTTTTTATTGCTGAGTGTGACATCAGGTGTTATGGAATATCCCTTTGCCGGGGCAGCTGACCTAAACCAACCAATGTCCCCTCCCCATCACTTGCCCACCCCCAGCCTGCTGGCTCTTGGGGGCTCAGAAGGAGTCCAGCACTACGCAGCAATAGACACAACACTGGAGTGATATCAGTGCTGCTCCAGCTACGAGTGCAGAGCACAGCACTGTGCGGGCTGCTGCAGGGAAAAGGTGACTCCAGCTCACACAGACCCAACACAGTGGGTGTTACAGATCCAGTTCAAGCTGCACGCTTTGTACAGTCCTTTGACTTTGCCAATAACCTGCTGAGGAAGCTAGGAGAAGCTACAAAAAGGAAGCAGGACTAAACATGAACGGCATATGCTGGATTACCAGAATTTCCTTTAAAAAAATTATTTACTTCAATGTGTACAGCTCCATCCCCTGAAGGTAGGGTAGAGTAACACCAAATCCAGTTTGGTTTCAACTGGATTAGGTTTGTTGGTGAAGGTACCTATGTTCAGATAGGCTGTAAGGAAGGTGCAAGTTTGAGTTGCAGCTGCTTTGATCACACCTGTACAATCAAGAGAAATGATGTGGTGTTTCTCAGCCTGGTAGCTAAGCGATGCAAACTGCCTTTTCCCTAGTGGAAGTAATGATATAAATTAAGTTTTGCTAAATCGCATTTCAGGAAATGTTGGTTTCTCTTTGCTTTCTCCAAAGAGCTAAGCAGTAAGCCAGCTCACTCCTTGGGACTCTGAGTGGGAGCAAGCTTTGGAAAGATCTGGAGTTCCAGAAGTCACGATTCTCTAGTTGCAAAATAGGCAAGTGGAAGCCCAGTGCTTTGTCGTACAGGTGGTGGTATTATTTTTACTTTACTGTGAGACTCAGTGCAGTTTGACACTTGTATTCAGCCAGACAGTCTTTATCTTCCAGCTGCTCCAGCTTACATAAAACTTGGCAATTAAGAGAACAAATTCTCTGTTGTAAAAACATTTATAAAAATGGTACTTGATCTCTACTGGAAAAGCCAGCGTAACAAAACCCCTTGTAGAAAGGCAGCTTACTGGCTTCTTCCTGTTGAGTTGTACCTAAGCTCTTTGATGCTGGTCCAGTTATGTCAGCAATGCTCTTTTCTCCACCATCACTTAAGCATCGCTGTTGTGCAGAACTGCAGACCTCCTTGTAAATTAAGTGAAATTCTGGTGGGAAAAGTTAATTGCTGTTTGCTGACAAGTTGCTACAGCTAATTCCACTAGTACAAGTCTCCTGAGGTAAATTCAGTTGCAAATGGGAGGGAGCCAGTGTTCCTATGACAAATGGCATTAACACATGCAAATAAGTGAACTATGTTCAAGGCAGTTAGGCCTCGATTTCCCAGGTTCCAAACACCGTGTTTGTAAGATTATGTGGGAATCTGAAGTGCAGTTTTAGGCTGATATTTGTTTAACTTGTCCAAAGTTAGCTATTAAGGGGCAGACATTAAAAACATAGGTGATAAATGAAGTTGCAGCTCAAAGGGCTTTTCCTAATCACTAAAATTCAGCAGCAATTTCTAGAGCCGTGACAAGGTGCCTAATAAGGAACATGACACAGTGAGCACAGGGGCTGAGGGTTACAAATATGCTTTCTGTTCAACCCACATGCTTAAAACCTCTGCTTCCCCTAGTCTGCTCTGACATCTGCTGTGTTTGTATTCCTCCACCACCACCAGTCACTGTGAGAATCGTGCTTCAGTTTGAGCATGTCTTACCAAGACAGCGAGATCTTTCCTTCAGTATCTCCTCCTCTTCCCCAAGGAGTTCAGCCCTGGGCTCGCTCCCATCATGTCCAATAGCTGGGAAAAACAGAGAGTTTCTGTCCAGGGTAAGCATGTTCTGTGTTTCCAGATGCATGGATGTCTGTGCTAACACAGAAGCTGAACGGAAATTAAAGTTAATTTGTCTGACCTCAGATTAACCTCACTGGAGTACTCTAGAAGGGGGGGGGTATTTTCCAGGTTCAGGGATGGAAATTTGGAAAAAGGTGGCACTAAGAAGCATTTCACTGGGATGATTCTGGTTTTTGGAAGAAGCTGTGAATCAAAGGCAATTTGCTGGTATGGTTAACTCTTTCAACTCAGAACCAGATTCCCAGTGCCCCCCATGTTAAAAATCTGGAGCATCTGGAGCTCTCCTGATTCATTTTTCTGGTTTGCTATCCTGTTTCTCTTTATTTTAATATCAGTATAGTATTTCCACAGATGCTTTCTCATCTGAAGCTGTGAGAAAAACTTTCTGAAAGATTACATTAGTGTAAAGGTAAAGCACAATCAAGCCTTATTAGGGCTCATTTTAAGGCTTAGGGGTTGGCAAAGCAATACAGATATCCAAACTGTGGCAGAGAGCTATTTTTGAACCCTAAAGGGATGTCTGATGTGTTTCCATAGAATCCTAACTTAATCTATAGAAAGGGATTTCTTTTTTAAGAGAATGTTTCCAAGAGGTTATATTTGAAATATTTATTCAAGCACGATGTCCTATTGAAGCTCAGTATTCCCAGTGACCAATGTAAAAGTTTGTAGATATATTTAAAGTCTGAGCATTAGTCTCTGTAGCCAGGGAAGCTTTTGTACTCCATGAATGTACAGAAGTGAGTTACTTGTATGAATTGTTCTTATTAAAATGTTGAAATCTTAACACTGACCTTCCGCTGACTTGGTTGCTATATAAAATGTTTCTGCACCTCGCACACAATGCGTAGATCTCTGTCGCTGTAAGCATCGTGCAGCCGCCTGCACTGCCACTGGTGGGGTCAGACAGAACCTGGCTCTGCTGCAGGCACTGGGTGCTGCTCTTCTTCCTCCAGCCCGTCACCCTGCACGAGATGCCCCCTGCTTCAGAGCAGCACCTGGGCTACACCTTACCTCACTGTGCCCCGGGCTGCGTGTCCTGGACCTTAACTTGAGCTAAGCCTTAGGATAGGATCCTGAAAAAATAGTGTGACACTTTGGGACATTGCCTATTTGCTGCAAGTGATGTACAACAAGTGACTAAGGGGTGTGACAAGCTCACACACTTGCCTGTGAGCATCCACCTTTATCATCAAACAAAACAAAGAGCAGCACTGCACATGTTGGCTTTCATCATCACACCCTACCTACCGTGTTACCGCAGGCTGTAGCTTTATAGCTTGCCTTCTGCATTTTCCAGTAAAGGACATTTGTTGCTATTTCTGTTCATGATTTTCACTTTATTAATGTACAGATTCACACAAAACATTATGTTCTTGCTAAGGCCATTTCATTAATAAGTGTTCTTAGTAGAGAGTTGTGTACCGGGGGGGAATACAGCAGGTTGGCAGATCGTCATTTTAAAACTGTCACAATTTACCACTGCTATACTGGAGGACATGCTGTAGCCTACTTATACAGAAGTAACAATTGTGTTCTAATATTTACTCCAGAGCACAGTAACAGACCACATAACCCCATGGGTACAGTCTTCTGGTCCACCAGCAACATAAGCATCTTACCACAGCTGTGCACAACACTGACAATTGGAAAAATGAAAAAAAAAAAAAGCATAAAATCCTTGTCTTGGTTCAGCGTGACATTAACAAAAGTGAAACCTCACAACCACAGTGTGCCCTCACTGGGGCTCCCACAGTGTTGGATCCAAGTCAAGACAAATCTCACTATACGAGGGGCTTTTGCTTACCAAGGAAAGAAGCAAATTGAACAAGAAGGGTTCCAATCCTGTCCTACTGCATGTAAGTTCAGCAGCAGTTACAGCTTTGGGTCCTCTTGTACAAAATGAGACCATATATGCAAATAATCCAACTTCTGCTATAAGATTATCTACCTACCACGCTAGCTGTGTCCTAAGCCAAGTGTTTTGTGGCACAAACATGTGAAGAACTGGTAAAGCCATGGGCCATGCTGGGAAAATAACACTTAGTTCTTCCTTCTGATGAGCTAAGCATCTCAGGTGAAGACAGACCAGGACCACAAGCTAAATGGAATTCAAAATATTTCTCTGCCAAGTCTGTGGAATAGATGTACACAGACCAACTTGTTTCAAATTGTAGAGAGAGTTTTGGTGCAAGCAGAGGTTAGTTGTGTAAAAATGCATCTGAGAAATGAGCAAACTGAAGCTGCGTGGAAGACTGAGCATCTTCCCAACTCTTCAATGCACTCACCTTGCCAGTTTTGCAGAGTTCATGGGTCTTGTCTTCACTTTCTGATGCACAGAACAGTCTATGAAAAAATTAGTGACTGGTGAGATCAGTTGAAAAAAAAAAAAAGGCATTACCAGGAGAATTTTTGGTTTTCTTTTGCATAAGCAAGCAGTAGATAACAGTACCACTTCAATCGCACTAAAAGTCTTTTAGGTCAACAGGTCAAAGGTTGTACTCCAATAAGTTTCCAGATACAAAACAAATTGAAGAGAAGTGCGAAAGCCAGCATTCTGGCTGCCGCAGTGCAAGCAGCCAACTGTTTTATCGGGACAAAAAAGGAGCAGAGTCCCAGCAGTGCCCACCAAAGCTGTGCATGGGGCTACCACGTCGGTCCTGTGCTGGCCGTGGAGGAGGGCCCACTTAAACAGCATTTGTGCCACACTATGCAGCCCTTTTTTACTCTTAGCCCAGCAGCAGGGCAACTGAAACACACTTCATCACAGAGAAAATACTAAGTGACAACTCCCTCTGACAAATTGCATAGGATCACAAGTCCCTCAACATACACACCTGAAGAAGGTAGCTTCACCACCACTAGTTAAACAAAGCATTGCACACAAGAGCCTTGGTTGCAGACATTTTAAAACGTGTTTCTAAAATTACTACAAGAATTTTTAGTGTCTCCATCTTTGCAAAGCACACTCAATTCCTTGGTCACCCACACAACGAAGACAAGATTCCTGTTTAATACCAAGTCTCCTTCAACACCTTTGCACGTCACAGCAACAATGCAGCACAGCCAACAGCAAAAGGGTCAGAAACTAAGGGGTACTGCCTGGCACACACAGAAGACTGGTAGTAGCGACAGCAGGAGGAGTTCATGTAGATGAGAAATTAGAAAAATATATTATTACTTGGGTCTAGTCATCTTGGGGTAGGAGGGATGGGGTGCACCACAAAATAAATAAGTGGAAAAATAGATCCAAGAAAATATAGAAGAGCCTTACATTTCATATTTAGATCTTAGATACAAAATACACAATTAACTAGCTCTACTCCTGACAACTCTTCGGAGGGCTGACACCAATCTAAGCAGTCCTGTCCTCGACGTGTAATGCATTTAGCACTAGGTTGTTACGTATGCTGTATTTATACATGCACACATGTATCTGTATAGGATGGATACACACACATGCATATCGTACCTAAGAGTCACAAAGCCTTTCACTAGCACCATTAAAAAAGCTCAATCATTAAAAAAAACAAGATCCAAAAGGTATCTGGCAGAGGTCCATTTAAAAATAGGAAACAGTAACAACACAGCAACAGAACTGAAGCTATTATTTGTACTGTACGGGCATGGACGAAATATTTACATGCTCAACTCAGTGGTACTGAACCTTAAGACAGAACAGCAGGGGGAAAAAGTAGTTCAAGTGCAAACTTTGGGCTCATCAGCTAACCAAAAACAAAGATTTCTGCCAGCAGTGTTTCTTTCACCCTAGAAAGATCTGCCAGCGATACCCAGAGCAACCTCTCTCATCTACCCATGTTATCACAACAAAGAGCAGGATACTAAAGAAACATATAACTCATTTGTCATATAAGCAACAAAATTAAGCTAGATAGTTTTATCACGTATCCCATAGTGGTCCTTGGCTGTAACACAAGAACAGATTACTTAGGCTGCATGCCACAAATACCACGAACAATTCACTTCAGGTCCCCATCCCCTTCTCCTTGAATTGACTTTTTGATGCGAAGCAACATGGTTGTAAGCCACTGATCCAACCGCGATATTGAATCGAATTCTTTCACCTATTAAAGAAAAAAAAAAAAAAAGGAACAGCTGAAGGTAACATGTTAGAAAGCACAGATGCTATACTGCTGCAAAAGGCGCATTCTGCATTTCTCAAAGCATGTTCTTTTAAACCTTTTACTCTTCCCAAGGTAAAAAAAAAATAAATATAATACACAAAGAACTATAAGCCATTGTCGGGCACAGGAAGGGGTTGGCATAAACCCCATGAATAAGTGGTGGTATCTTTATTAGAATGATTTGTTTCTCACTCCGAGTTAAAGTACTACATTTGGGACTTGCTAGAGCACATGCTGGAAGCAGCTCTGCTAATTTCTACCTCCTCCTCCTGGACATTTCGTGGCAGGACGGGGAAGCCTGCCTGCTGTTTTGCCCCCCCGGACTCTCAGCTCCAAGCAAGGTCGCTGTGCTCAGAGCTCAGGCCTCCAGTTACCAAACACGTAACACAGCACACCAAAACCAAGACAAAAGGGGAGGCCGCATCACAGAGCCCCAGAAACAGCCAGCCACACAACACCCAAACACTGGTACTTACAGCCTCGGTGTATGCCTCGCAGTTCTGCTCCTCGTGGGCTTCCAGCAGTTTCTAGGAAAACACCGTAGGAAACTTAGAAAATGCTGCTGCGTGCTCCGTGTAGCTGGTGCACGAGCTGCTCCCTGAACCCAGGAAAGGGGACTGCAGGACACCGCCTCCCCAGCCCCATATGTCCAGCAGCAGCACCTTTGTAACCCGTTAAAACGCCAACCCAGATTTTTTTTTATTTTTTATTTTTTGAAGTTAACCAGAATATCATATTTCTGCTGTTGCCACTCCCACAAGCTTGGTATAAATCCCATGCAAAGTGAGCCTGATGTCCTCTAAAATGTTTCGGTAAAAGACCAAAGACATGGCAAGGTGAAAAAGCACAAAGTAAAGGGCAGTATGCATTTCCAAACACGAGAGTGTTATTTTAACGTTGGCTTTACTTACTTTCAATAGCTTGCATTCCCGTGAATCTGTGAACGCTGGGAACATTTCTTCATATTTCTCAAGAGCAAGCTGAAAGAGAGAAGCACACCCTTAAGCTCTTTTCACACACAGTTCCTTGCTTTTTATTTCAGTTTTCGCCTTCTAGTCCTGAAACCACAGAGAGAGCTCGAGAAAGTATTCACAGCAAATCCAAGCATGCAGGGAAATGAAGAGGCGAGCTCAGAATCTGGCCTCAATCTGACCAGAGGTGGCTTTGGTTTGAGATATCACTCAGGTATGAACAAAGCAGGGACACAGACTGAAAGCAGAGCAGAAAGAAGGAAAACTCCCTGCATGCAACACAGCAGCTTTCTGAGCCGGGTGCTTATAAGGAGAATCCGCAACGTGTGCCCCAATTTACCTCTGCACCTCCCACTCCAGAAGCGCTGGGGCTCACCCTTAATTCTGCCCACACTGGTGGGTTTTGGTGTTTTGGTCATTTGAGCCCAGCAAACATCAGGTGAGAGCATCAGCTACGTGCTGGCCATCGCCCTCGCCCTGCTCTGTGCAGTTGTTCCCTGCTGCTCTTCCAGAACAGAAGAAGTGCACGGGAATTGATGCTGCAGCCTGGGCAGGAGCCACGCAGACCCCTGCACCTGCAAAACCAACGGCCCGAGCCCACTGACCTTGGCGTTCAGCTCGTCCACAATGAAGTGGCACAGAGCGGCCTTGAAGAAATATTCCTTCGCGCTGTACTTGAGCAAAGGGTTATCCATCGTGTTTGTTCCGACCTATGTGTAAAAAGACATTATTAGGGTCAGGAAAGAAAACTGCATCGTTAAGAACTGAATTAAAAACATGACAGCTGATTAAAATTAGACAGCACCCCACAGCTGTCTGCAAAACGTCAGTGGCTGCAGAAAGCTTTTGGGCAGCCAGCCAGAGTTCAAGTGCCCCAAAGAGCAGTTTGAGACCCACAGGCAGCCCGGGGCTCACCGCCTGCGCTGCCCTGGCTCGGGGTTCCACCCTGGGGCCTCGGGGCTGCCCATCTGAGGCAGAACAGGGAAAGCAAAGTCCGCTCCGTGACAGCCTGCTCCACTGTTAGCCCCCCAGAAACACAAAAGCACCACTGCCGGTGTTCCCAGGTCAATATTGGACACAAAGGTGGAGCGCTCACCTGCTCGTAGATTTCTATCGCCTTCTGGTACTGCTCCAGCTGCGCGGCGTAGGCGGCGACCTTCAGCAGACACTTGTTGGCAGAACTGCAATCAATACCACCACCCGCTAAGTGCTCTCCTGTGGGAGAGCGGCCGTGCCCTGCTATCTCCCAGCACTCTGGTACTTAGCGTATAGAACAGCGGGACCCAGAAGCTGCAAATTAGGAGTTGTTTTTTTTTTTTTTTTTTATGGCTGAAATTAATACAGGTGGAAAAGGATGAACGCCTTCTGTTCAGCATGGACCACAGTTCAGACACTGTTCAACCCCTCCGTGCTTTCTGTGCACCCAAAATGGGCATCCCAAGCCAGGCAAGTCTTATCTTGGGGTGAGAACACAGAAATTCTTTAGAAACAGCTGGCGTGAAGCAGGCACGGGCACCCCAAGGTATCAAAGCTGCAAAGCTTCAAATATTTACGTAGAATTTGGGCATCTTATCAAAGGACATTTTAGAAGGGCCTGTTGGGTGAGGCATGGAAGCAAGTGTGCAATCTAGGACAAATCCCCATTTCTGACCCCTCCCGGCTCCAAGTGACCATTTCACAGAGACCGCTTACCTGTTGGACTCCTCTCCTTTGTAATAGTCCGCAGCCTGCTCGTAGTGTGCAATCGCCTGGGGACAGAAATGTTACGCTTGAAAACCACTTCTAAATTACAGTTTGGGGTTAGATCAGTGTACAGGGACCACATTCCACTCTGCAGATGAAAGGGGCGAGATGACAGCACGCTGCAGCACTTCTGGTGAAGCGAGGCACCCACCAAACTCCAAACATGAAGCTGCCCTTGAGAATTGGACTGCGTACTCGTTAATGGCTCCAAGCTCCACAGCACGTTTAATAAAGGTGACACAGCTGTTGAGGTCTTGACTCCAGGCATTTAAAACCACAGTGCAGCAAGGCTGCTGCCGGTTTTGCCACGCTATGGTAAATATTTTAGCAGAACTGTCCTGGCACAGCAGTGCTCGCTTGAAGTGGTGCTGCACATGGACAGTGAACGCTGAAATCATTAAGGTAGGTGGATAGGACCCGGTGAAGTGGAGCTGAAGAGGCAAATGGTTTTCTAGAACACAGTACCTAGGGACTGTAAATTTTCGTCCTGCAAACTTCAAGCAGAGAAAGATTTGCAGCTGGTCAAGCCGCTGGATGCTTGATGTGATCCTGATCACATCACATCCTGATCTAGGTGCGGGCTTCCTGCTGGAGGATCTCTGTTACGGGAACTAACTTCAGCTACCTTCAAACTGGGGGTGACCTGCACGCACTCTTGTCTGACAGGAGATGAGTTTTGGCAGCCGTGCTGGCCCCGGCGCTGCTCTGGCCGGGCAGGGAAATGCAGCCGCGCCTGCAGCACCCGCGCAGCAGTGCCGGCAGGGTTTGCCATCCTCACCTTCTCAATGTCTACCAGCTCGGCCTCGTAGATCTCCGCGATGGTGATGTGATGCTTGGCAGCGATGGTGAACCGCCCCTGGGGAAGAGAAAAGGTGACGTGAGAGGGGGGCTCCCCCGGTGCCCCGCACACACGCCGTCACAGAACGGCCGCGCCTCTTCCAACCACACGCACGGCACCCATCCACCCGCGAGCAGCCAGTGCAGCTCCTTACCATGTCGGTGTAGATATCAATAGCTGCATTTAAGCAGTTGATGGCCTCTGCAGCATGAGTGTTCAGGAAAAACAACACAAAGTCAGCCAAGGCGTCAGAGCCCCCACTTCAACACCTCCCCCCTCCAAAGCCAGCTCTCGGGAACATTTCTCTGCACGGGATCACAGCACAGCTTCTTAAATCAGTACCTGCTTACACGTGGACGTGTGTGCATGTGGAATGACTGACACAGCGTTCCCCAGGGATTGAGCATGTTACGCTCCTCACCCTTCTGCAAACCCCATCCCAATTCAGCCACCCCAAACACCCAGCAGAAGCCCTGCCAGCGAGTGCCAACTGGTGATTAGGATGGGCAAAACACAAACAACTTGCAGCCCTCAATCACCAGGCTGCATCCCTAAACACAGCGAAACTCACAACACCAGGCTTGTAAACACACAGGGGCTGCTATTTTCTAGGATTTTTTTATTTTTTTTCCCCTCCCACACTTACAGAACAGTGACATCAGCCCTGAGTGGTTTCTTCAGAGCTCTGCAACAGCTCTCTGGCATGGGAAAGCACCAGTAACGCTCCTGGGCTGCTTTGTCTGCGCACACAGCCATGATACCGGGCTCCCAGAAAACCACAACCCTGCTCTGCACAGCCAGACTGGAGCAAGACAGACCATTTATCCTTTTATCCCAACCCCAGCAGAGGTCCATCTGTTTCCCTCCCGCCTCCCCTCTGCCACGTGGTGGCACCCAAAGTGGTGCCGGGACCTCCAGTACCTCCCACTGCCACCCAGACCCGAGACCCTCCTCGGACAGGTGAACGTTTCTCCAAAACCAAGCTAAAGCAGGAAGCAAACTGCACCAGCGCGTCCCTCAGCACGCTTCTGCCTGGGGTCTCTCCAAAGCTTATCGAGGACAGCATCAGAGACAGCGAGAGAGCAGCTGGAGGAGAGGCCAGCTCAGCACGTGCTGGTCCAGGCCGCAGACCGAGGGGATGCTGACTAGGTCCCATCATCCCAAATAGTCCCCAAACTCCTGCTTCATTATGCGGTGCCATCTCCTTGCATAGGAGAGGTGCAGAGCATCCCTTCCCCAGGCTCTCATACCCCGTTTTCCCCTGAGGATGTCTCCTGACTTCTCTCCTCTCCACGCCTGCCATCCCAGCTGCAGAGCCAAGTTCTGCGAGTAACATTACATTTTAGTAATTATCTTTCCTGACTGCTTTTAAGAGGGAGAGGCCCAGGCGATATTAAGGCTTTCCAACAGCCTGCACTGAGGATCTGCAGGCACACAGAGCAGCTGACTACGAAAGCCTCGGCGCACCAGCTGCTACGCAACTAAGAAGATTTGCACGCCACAATCCCGGATTTTATCCCCCTTACCTTGTGGGTCTGCTTTTTTGTAGGCGTTCCCAGCGTCCACAAAACTGGTGGCCGAATCGTGCTTGCTCTGCAGCTGCATGTGCAGTTTGGCCGCCTGGCAGAAGGCATTTCCTGCAGCTGGGACAGATCACACAGCCACCCGCTGCACCCCTGTGCTCCTGCCGAGCGAGCAGAACTGCAGCAAAATGACAAAACCCGGCACTCCCCAAGGACCCGGCAAGTTTTGGAGGTGCAACCACCCCAAAGGTGTTTTCAGCCCGCTTCAGCATCCAGTCCCACAGCGAGAGGAGCGAGCCCAGGGCAGTGCCTTTAGCAGGCTTCCCTGCAGGCTACCAGCTTCGGTTTGGCGATGATGAACTACACCCAGATGGGTAATCGAACAGAAACATCCAGGTCACCCCTCTTTGCCCACCCTCCCGGTATTTTAAACCACTGGGCAGAGCTCAGAAATCCCATCGCCACAGCGATAATCCCCACAGAGACAGCCCGGGAGGCACAGCTGCGCCACGAGAATTTGCAGGGAAATGCTCGCCATGAACCCCCCCCACACACCCCCCCAGCATCCCCACATTTCAACCGGGGCCAAAATGTTTCCCCCGCATCCCTTTCGCAGCCAGGACGGACACCCCGAGCAGGAGCAGGGTGAGGTGTTGAGGTGTTACACCACAGAGTTTCTGGCAGGGGCAGCCGGGCCCGCAGGCAGGCTGCGATGAGCGGCCTGGGCTGTACTCACCGCTCCAGTTTTTGGCTATCTTGAACATGTTCGCAGCCCTGGTGTACATCTCGCAGGCTTCCTCCACACGGGTGTTGCCCCTGGAAGAGAGCAGAGCCCGTCACTGCCTGCTGGAGTGAAACACGGCCCTGAAACGGGGCCGGGAGCTCCAACAGGCCTCGCTGGGGTGACCCGGCCTGCTGCAGGTGGCTGCCTCCACTGTTAATTAAAGGCAGGTTTCTTCACAGGCTTACAGCTGCCTTCAATCACACGGAGTCCTCCTGACGCCCTGGCCGAGCCAGCATAGCTGGAGGGAAGCTGGGGAGAAAAGCCCCGGTTTTGCCTCTTTTTTCCTCCTCCTCCTGACAGACAATCACATTTCATTCCTAAGCACAGCCAGCTTCTTAGGCCCGCTTTTCCTGCCCTTGCAAGAGGCATTTTGCACAAATTGCAGCCAAAAGAGGCGCGAGGTAAAGGGAAACCCCCACAAAACATCCCAAACGGGCCGCTTTCTGCTCCCAGCACAAAGGAAAAAGGAATTAAACCCAAACTGAAACGCAGGCAGTGGCCGACACACAGAACAACCCCGAGCAACCGTGACTGCTGGGACAGCAGAGCCCAAGCAGAACCTCTCACGAGGGGACAAGGCCAGGAGAGCGTTTGCCCCTTTTTCTTCCGCCCAAAGCTTGTTTAGGAATCACTCGAGTCTATTTTTAGCCCAAGAAAATTCGAAATTCGCCTCTCGAATCTGCTGGCTCACGCCGAGGGTTTTAGGGCAGCCAGGATTACGCCGGGAGCCCGCCCCGCCTGCTGCATCGGCCTCAGGGCAGCGAGGAATTTATTTGTACAACTTCTGCTTCGGGGCTGGGGGCACTCCATTTTTCCAGGCTGTGGTTTAAAAACGTCAAAGCCTCCGTGGCAGCGTCACCAGAAACGCTCTTTTCTTTAGGCAGCTATTTTTAAAATGGCACGCGGAATAAAGCTGGAGGGAGACGGAGCTCCTGGCTTTCCAGAGCCCTTCCAGACACAGCTCCCTCGCCCCCACAAATACCTGCTCTAACAGAAAAGCCAGGCTGGGCGCAGCAGCAAAGGAAGCTTTGCGATTTTCCCCCGGCTTTTTGTGCCGGTCTCATCCCTGAGCAAAGTTCAAGCCGAGTCCTGCTTTCAAGACAAAGTCTCCGAATTGCGATTTCAGCAAAATTTCCTTGAGAACATGAAATCCTCGGGCGATTCCCCACACCGGAGCTCCTCTAGACCGAGGGATGCCTTTGGCACCCCTCCAACCCCCCTGTGCCGTGCCGTTTGGGGGTCCCTGGAGCTGCAGCCCCTCTCTGGGTCGCATTGCTGCAGTGACACCGCTCCTAAAAGCCCCCTGCGAGCGCTGCAGCTTGTAGGGCCGAGGGCTCTGCCCCTCGCTGTCGCACAGGGACGGGGAATTATTCAGCAAAATATGGCTCTGGGCTGCGGAACAGCCAAGCTGCCGGCGCGGGGGGCTCCAGCTGCTTGGAGTTGGGCACCAGGCCGGGGATGGCAACCCCAGCAGGGGATGCGCCGCCAGCCCCGCTCACGCCTGCTCGGCAGCAGCGCTGCAGCAGCGATGCTGCAAAGGAGCTCGCCCCTCTTTCCGGGGGGCACCCCTCGGATGCTTTCTGGGGAGAAGCGGCCCTTTTCCTGGGCAAACCCTGGGGAGGGCCAGAGCCCCTTAGGGCCAACCTTAGGGCCGCCAGCTCAACCCCCCCCCGCTATGGGGGGTATTCGCGTCCCTGCTTTGCACCCCTGGCTTTGCACGCATCCCCCCCCCCTTTTTTTTTCTTTTTTTTTTTTTTTTTTCATCCCACCCGTTTGCACGCCGTTTTTTGCCCCTCGCCATCCTTTTTGCACAAGCCCCAAGGATAACGCCGCCCCCCCCCCAGCTCACCCGAAGAGCCCCCGCAGGAAGGAGTGCGAGCCCTTCACCCGCTTCTCGGCCTCGGCCATCAGCTGCACGGCCTCTCGCTCCTTGCCCGTGCTGTCCATCGCGGCGCAGCTCACGGCCAGGCCAGGCCCGGCACCGTCTCCTCCTCCTCCTCCTCCTCCTCTTCCTCCTCCTCCTCCGGAGGCGCGGCCCCGGCAGGCGCGTGCACGGGGCAGCGCAGGGTGCGCGCTGCGCGTCGCAGGGTGCTGCAGGGCATGCAGGCTGCACCGGGCAGGATACACGCGGCGGGGGGCACCGGCTGCAGCGTGCAGGGTGCGCGGTGCACCGTGCACAATGCCCCTGCTGCAACGGTGCACCTTGCACAATGCACACATTGCACCTTGCACAATGCACACAGTGCACCTTGCACAATGCGCACAGTGCACCTTGCACAATGCGCATGGTGCACGCTGCACAATGCACACATTGCACCTTGCACAATGCACACACTGCACCTTGCACAATGCACACGCTGCACCTTGCACAATGCACACGTTGCACCTTGCACAATGCGCACACTGCACCTTGCACAATGCGCACGGTGCACCTTCCACAATGCGCACGGTGCACCTTCCACAATGCGCACACTGCACCTTGCACAATGCGCACGGTGCACCTTGCACAATGCGCACACTGCACCTTGCACAATGCGCACATTGCACCTTGCACAATGCACACGGTGCACGCTGCATGGGACGCCTGTTGCAGGACGCGCACGCTGCACACCGTGCACACCGCGTGTTCCATGCTGCACGCCCCCACCCCACAGCAGCCCTCGCGGCAGGGACACAATGCCCACCCCACACACAAGGAAGCGGGGCAGGTCCCAGGGATTTTGCAACCTGCGTTTCATTGCAATGTGCTTGGTGCATTACAGTGGCACAGCGAGGACATGTGGAAACTCTTAAAACTGCTTCTCAAAAAGCATCCCAACACCTGTCTCAGCAGCTGCAATCGATCACCTTTTGCACTTCTGCAACAAGGGGGAACTGTGCAGGGAGTTAAAAGCAATCAGAAGAGTTAAAAGAGTTAATGCAATACAACCAGAATAGTTAAAAGTTAATACAATCAGAATAGTTAAAAGGGTATTTGAACGGGATTTCACTCTTGCAAATAGCTCTGGGAAAGAACTAAGGAAAACAATGTTCTGGAACAAGGCAGTGCTCTGCTACAGAGCGGGTAAAGCTGCACAACAAGAGGGTGATGGTGATTCAAAGATCGAAGCCGAAATTCCTTTAAGTGGTATATTCTTTATTGCAGCGCTGGATGCACGGGGGATCTCTCCACCTATCGTGCATACCCAAGGTGGAAAGCAGTCTTGAATTTATACAATCAACCTCTCAATATTCTACAAGCACCTACACATATGCATTACCTATCCCCGCCTTCCCTCGCTTCTCATGCTAATTAGCCTTTTGGCACCTTGCGCCTGCGTAGAGCCTCCCAAGAATTGTGGGCAGGGGTCTTTGGGACGTGGGCAGGGGTCTTTGGGAGGAAGACCCCGAGTCTTCCTCACAGTGTACTTTTCACCTTTGGTCAGGAATCTGCTGAGTTGGCACGTTTCTTAATTGCAAGCACTGGTTGTTGCTAATTCTTCCGTTTGTTGTATCTTTATAATGAATTCCAATGTCCAGTTTTGAGATTTATAGTCCTTACATTTGTTTCTCTGTCCGTCTGCCGCTTCCTTATCATGAGTTCCAGTGTCTTGTTTCGAGATACACAGTCCTTGGCTGGGGATTGTCCTTGCCTCCCCAATGCCTCCTTAATCAGTTTGTTTGTTTTTAGATTTGGCTCTGCTTTTTTACGTTCCTCTCTTAGTTTCCACAGGATTCCTGAAGCTTTAACACAGGAGGTAAAGCTGAAGGTTAGGCTCTGGGCAGAAAGGTCTGTTCCTGGGGCCACTCTTCATCAAGCGAAGGGCTACAGAAAAACCCAGAAGCACAGGCAGGAAGCGTGCCCATTTTCTGTCTCCCACACATTTGTGTCCCAGCCCCAAACTACAGCCGAGTCCCTCCTGATTCGGTTCAGCACCAGTGCCCTCGCCACGTGGCTGCCCGTGGCAGGACCGGGCGGCTCTGTCGGTCCGCACGGCAGCTGCTCCACCACGGCCCCCAGGCTGATTTGGGAGGGAGAATTCTCTCCCTGGGTCCATCTGCTCCAGGTGTTTCAGTGGGCTGAGACAGCACTAATTCGTGACACGAAGCTACTAAAACCTAACTCAGGCCCATCCACTCATTTTGCGAAGGTGACCAAACAGCTGCCGAGTGGCAAATTCATCCAGGCTCAGTCTGGGAGCAAAAACCAACACCGTCCTCCCAGCTCCCAGCCTCCCCAAGGTCCCCTGTTAATCCCACTCCCTCTTCCCCACGACAGAAAGCGGCCGGTGCTGCCATGGGTCAGCAACTCACCTCAGTTCCCGGCGGGGTTCACGATTTGGGCTCGACTTTGCTACCCCTGGCTCTGTGCCTCTGGACTACAGCTCCCGGCGAGCCCCACGCCAGCCTCCCCGCCGGGTGCTGTGCCGTCACTGCTTCTCCATGGAAACACTCGGATCACGCTGCCTCCTCGCCTTCTCCCCTCCTTGCCCGTGTGCTGTTAAAGGTGACATCGCGGTGCTTCTGCAACGCCAGAAAATCATGGTGTCGACTCCCCGGTTAAAAATACACCCCGTTTTGATTGGCAGCTCCAAAACAGGGCTGCAACCCCCCAAACCTGCCATCTGGAGGAGGCTTTCGCCGTACTGACAGCACGTGTTTCTTCTCCACCTGTTTTTCAAAGCGCCTGCAGCAGGAATTCATTAATATATAATTAATTCGCTTATATGGGTCTGTATCCCTGCCCCTAGAGCTATTTGCATGTGCACAACGCAACGCTGATGGCATCCTTCAGAGCTGGCTGGGAAGGGGCCACGCTCTCGGTGCCCCCCAGCCCCGGGAGAACGTCACCGCTGCCCGCAGGGTCTCCGCGTGGCCTCTCCGGCAGGTTCGTGCTGTGCTCCACTCCCCGCAGCCCCTGAGGTGCTTCCTCCAGCAGGGGCACCCGAATTTCTGCACCTTGCCAGGATCCTGGTGCGAGGGAGTGAGCTGGGCAGGCCTCCCCCAGCACGAAGGGGTCCGCCTCGTGGCACATTTTAAGGTTTGCTGCAGGATGTTTGCCGTGCTGGCTGACGGTGTGATTGCACAGCGAATGCAGGACGTGCCGTTAATTATTTCTACTGAAAGAGAAATACTGAATAATTAATAGATCTGTATCGAACAATTAACAGAACGGGGGGGGCCATGCTGGGAAAGCTGGGGCAGAAGTCCCCAGCTGGGGCAAATGCAGGCTGCTGACCTCATTGCAAGACTGGGAGAAATTAGATCCAGGAACGTTTCCGATATCCCCTTGGGATCCAAAGCCAGAACTGCCAGACAAAACCGAGGTCGCTATTAAAAGCGATCACTGTTACACACCACAAAGAATCTGAACAATCCCAGGTGTTGTTTCCCTTCTCTGGGCAGGACACAATGGAGCCTTTTTGTCTCTCTGACCTTGGGATACTAACAGAAAACAAAGCTATTCAGAAGATCCTTTGCCCCATGGCTGCAGAGCTCTGCCATCTGATCCTCACCCTGGAACGGGAAGACGGGATGCATCAGGCCTTTCCCGATTTAGAGGAGAATGCAGAAAAATTAGCCAAAGCCACTGAAGAACTCGCTTCTGTTGCAAAAAGGTAATTTTGCTGGGTGGCTCCCAGGCAGATTTGGGGGCTGGGAATGGGAGAAAGGGACAGCAAAGAAACTGTGAGCTGGGGGCATGCGCAGGGCACAGCGCCTGGCCCTCCTGTGCTCTCTGCCTGCATCCTGCTGGAGAGAGGGGAGGTGGGAGGAAGGGACGAGGAGGAAGGGATGGTGGGCAGAGGAAACGCGGTGCGGGCACTACTCACGGGACGGATGAGCTGAGCCCCGTGGCTTCTCCTGCAGGTTGGCTGAGGAGGCCTGGCGATGAGGTGTACAAGGAGGAGACGCGTCCTGCAGCCGAGTCCCTCGTCCTGGCGGGGAGACACGTGCTGCTGGCAGCCCGCGAGCTCTGCGCACACCCGGACATCCCTAGCCACAGGGAGAGGCTGGCTGCGGCTGCAAAGAGGGTCCTCGCACAGGCCGGGAAGGTAGCACCTGATGGGGATGGTGCTGAGGCGAGCAGTGGGGGAGGCTGGGCTAGGAGACAGCAGGGGGAAGGCTGCAGGAGGACCACGATCTCCCCTGCGCAGGGCAGGGGCTGGGGAAGCTCCAGGTTGGAGCCGTGGGTGTTTCCTCACCTTGTGCTCTCACCAGGGGAGGTCTGCTGGGCAAAACACCTCTGCTCTTCCCACTCTGACCGTGTTTTCTGCTGTGCTGGTTAGATCCTTCAGATCGAAGACGCTGCCGGGGTGAGGAGGACAGTTCAGGCTGCCAACCGGCTTTTGGAGTGCCTTGAGCATGCTGCGGGATGCAGGGAACGCGCCAGCACTGCTGGCTGCTTTCCAGAACTTTTCTGAGGCCTTCCTTCTGCTGAACAGTCTGACAGCAAAGCACCTCGAGGAACTCGGAGATTCTCCTCGAAGGACCAGCTTGGTCCAAACTTTGCAGCTCCTTCACAAATGCATTCCTTTGCTCCACGCAGCCAAGCACAGCCAGCTGAAATGCTCCCGGGATCAGCAAGTCAGCCTCTCCAAGGACTGCTCCTTCCAGCTGATGGAGAGGACCATCAAAGAGCTTGTTTCCCTGCTCGTCGACAACCCAGGCAGCAAGGAGCTACAGGACAGAAATGGGATCTTCTCCCAGCATGTGTGCAGGCTGCTGGCTCTCCTCTCTCACCCAGACCCAGCGTACCTGTCCGACAGCGAGTTCAGTGCTCACGTGGAGGCAGTTATCTTCTATTGCATGCTTCTAGCAGACATGTCCAGGCCAGATCTCAAGCAGGATCTGATAAAACACTGCTGGGTTCTCCTGCAGCTGAGGAAAAGTATCTGCTGTCACAGAAGCAAACCAGATGGACAGACAAGGCCAAGCTGGGGAAAAAGCAGCCTGGAGGAGAAATGTCACACCATGAGAGAGGAGCTGGAGAATCTTGACCAGGCAGCGCTTACAGCTACCCTGCACCAAATCCTCGACACCTTCTTTGAGGCTAAAGAGCCCCTGAGGCAGTTAGTCGAGGAAGCCTGTAGCCTTGCAGGTGCAGGGTGTTTTCCAGCAGTGCAAGGACTTCTAAAAAAGCTTCAGCCCCTCACCACCACCTTCTTCACACACGCCCAGCAGATGCTCAGAGCGGCAGACTTTGTTCTGGCCAGGTGCACCGAAACACAAACTGCTAGAGAAATCCAGGACGGGGTAGAGTATTTAAGGAGCCTCCTTGCCAGTCTCCCTCCACTGCTCACAGAAAGGAGCAGAAATGCAGCCCCGAGGAGCGGCGCTGAGCAGCTACAGTCCCTGTACCACGCGTGGGCTGGAGCGACGGAAAGCCTCCTGCGGTGTTTTGAGGAGACAGTCGGCATGTGTGAATTCCTTAAGCTATCCATCCAGGAGATGGCCAAGCTCAGGGAATGGTGTGAAGAGGCCCTGGATAGTCAGGACCCCGAGAGGCTCTCCCGGCATGCAGCTAACCTCACCCGCTGGGCTCGCTGGGTCGCTGAAGCTGCTGGCAGGTACGTGGATGGTGCCACAGACCCCATTTTCAGGAACGGCTTGCGGGTTCGGGTTGAACAGCTGGCCGGCTCCATTCTTGAGCTGAAAGCAGCTGCAGCCTTTTGTCCAGAGAGCCTCTCCTGCCTCCGAACTAGGGATGTCTTTTCAAAGGCACTGAGCTGTCTGATGGATACTGCTTGCCGCGTCCAAGACGGGCTGGATGGGGCCAACCACCCAGACATCCTCAGCCCTCTCCGGGAACGAGTACGGAGCACTGGTGTTATGAGGGAGCTGGAGCTCGGCCCGTCGTGTGCTGGGCTAAAAACCACCGCTGCTGAAGCTGCATTGCAGGAAGATGCCCGAAGGCGCCCACCTTCACAAGCAGGTCACTTACAGCCTGATGTTGCTCCAAGGAAAGGAGATGCGCTCCCTGTCATTGCAGCACTCCTAGCAGCAACGAGAGCCCGCGATACAGCAGCCGTGGATGCAGCTTGCTCTGCCTTGCGCGAGCTCTCCACCTGCTGCGTCGAGGCAGCAAAGGAGGCGCTGCCTGTGGCTGAGGCTCCCCTGGCAGAGACGCTGGGGCAGTACCCGAAGATTGGCTCACTGACGCCGCGTGTTATTAGCTTGGCCAGGGAAACAGTCCCAGGGCAGCTCCGTCACCCGGGCAAACTTCTCCAAATGGCACTCTCGCTCTCCGAAAGGATCCGTGAGACCAAAGAGTGCCTAGCAGCTGTGGCAGGCTCTTGGTACAGCCTGTCGCAACAAGTGCTCAGCTTTATCTTGTCTGCTGACTTCACGAGCGGCAAACAGGCTTTGGACGAGACCATGATGGGCTTAGCAGGGGCAGTTCAGTTAGCAGGGGACATTGCCAGCATGTGTGGTAGGAAGCAAAATCCCGTTTTCCCTGCGGTCTGGGAGAACTTTCTACAGGTCCAGGCCAAATTTTCACATGCTCAGATGAACACCAAAGCGTTACTTGGGAAAGCAATGTCCTCTGAGGGCTCCTGCAGGTTGGGAGAGGCCAGCCTGGAGCTGCACTGCATCCAGTGGGCTGTCAGCATGCGTGTTCTCCTGGGTGCTATGGATCAGTTCATAGGCAGGGACGTCCTGTTCCTGAGGGAGCTGAGAAGTGCCATGAAGAACAAGCTTTGTTCTCAGAGCCTCTTGGCTGCTGTGTCTGAGATCTCCCTCAGGCTGCAGGAGGCTGCCTGGCTCTCTTACTTGTCCTGCCCTGAAGACCGTGGTCGCAGTGAAATCCTAGCCCTCAAGGAGGAGATAAAGGTGCTAGTGGAAGCACTGCTGGATGCCTCCAACACCCTCTTGGTCTCCCCGCTGTCTACTGCCAGCTTGTACATTCGCTTTGAGCTCCTGCAGACAGACGTGGCCCTCAGGGTCAAGGCGCTGCTGCTCCACCTGGAGGAGGCCAACACTGAACAGCTACGGATCATCCGAGATGTCCTTAGCCCAGCCCTGTCTCCCCTCTCCGAGGGAGAAAGGGAGAAGAGCAAACAGGCTTTTGAACAGAAGGCAAATCAGCTACTGGCCAACATTCAGTGGGTCAGCACTACCCTCCACGATGTCCTGGAGACCACCGCTCAACTGCAGTCGCAGGCAGACCTGCTCTCCGTCGCAGACCACCTCCTGATCCTGACGTCTGATGCGGTGAGCAGCGCCAGCCAGCTCTTCCAAAGCCACCGGGACCGAGGGCATCTCCACCTCGACAGCATCGTCTGGTACTGGGCAGCACAAGCACACTACCTCGTCACGCTGCTTCAGGCTGTCCAGGGCATCGGTGGGCACGTCCTGGAGCTCCTGAGACAACGCTTGCAGAGGGCAGGGAACTGCTGCTCTCCCAGACAGCACAGCAGCGTAGCCAAGCTCTCTGCAGCCCAAGAGCTTGGTGCTGTGAGCCACACAACATCAGCAGAAACTCACCTGACTGGGGGTGCACGCACAAACAGAACGGCCAGAGAGGCACATGAAACGGTACAGGAATTTTTCCCCTAGCGAGTCTTAGTGCAGCATAATTGTCAGGGCTGTCAGTCAGCCCAGTTACCCTCACTGGGGAGTACTGGGGTAACTGAGGTGGGCAGGGACCTCCTGGGAGTCAGCAGTCCAAGCCCCTGCACAGAGCAAGGCCAACAGCCGAGTTAATCAAGCTGCTGGGTACCCCATACCACTGAGCCCTGGGTGTCCGACCCGACAGAGAGCCTGGCATAAATAAACCCATCTCCAACACCCTGTTTCCGAGGAACTGGTGGCTGTACTGTCCTTCCTTTCCCTAAAATACCACCCGTCTCTGCTCAGCTTCTCATCTCCCCACAGGCTTTCCTCAGGAGTACTGGCCACTCTGTTCCCACCACAGCTGCTGCCAGTTGCAAGAAGCTGGCAAAAGCCTCAGCAGCATGACCCAAATCCCTCTGCAAAGCAGGTCAGAGTGCTCATTTCTCTACCACAAACACTGTCAGCTTGCAGGACAGCTCTCACTTGTTTGGAAATAGCTCCAGGAGATGATGGCATGGGGCATTTGGACTTAATAGTCCCCCTGTGGGTGAAGGCAGGGGAGAAAGGGGCTGGGTGGGAGGGCTCAGTGAGGTGGCAGGCAGCTGTGCTGCCTCCTTTACTCACCCAAAACTGCGTCGGAAACATGCAGGCAGAGACTTCTCAGCATCGATGCATCTGCACGCTCCAGACTTGAAATCTGTTCAGTTCTTGTCTCGACAGCAGCAGAGCGGTGCTCTCAGCATCTCCCTTGCCAGCAGCCCTAGGAGGCATGAGGGAGAAGACAGTGACACGCTGCGGAGTGGCCCCAGCAGGATGTCCCAGGTCACCAAGGACATGGCAACAAGGATGCTTCACATGACTCAGTTTCTGAGGAAGCAGGGCCCCATCACGGTATGAAGCGTTTCACCCCCTCTTTAATAGGCATAAAGAAAAGATTTTTTCCTCGAGAGTGTGGTCAAACCCAGTGACAAAGCTGCCCAGTGCCTGCTGAAACACCAGCATTATCCCACCCTTCTAAGAGTGGCACTGGGTGCCACCGGGAATTACGCTGGGAAGTGCACAAAGCACTCAGAATTACTTTCCTGAAAGGAGATGCAAGTCCTGTGTCGAGTCCTTTCCTCATTTCAGAGCACACCTGGCCTTTCCACGTGCTCCTGTCTTACAGGAAAGGGGTCTGTTTTCTCCTTCTCTCCCGCACCACGTTTCTGTTTTGTTTCAGAGCAAGGAGCAGCTGGTCGCCTGTGCCAGGCACATGGCCTCTGACGGGCAGGTGTTTGTCAGATTTGGCCGCCTCGTTGCGAAGAACTGCCCGGACAAGAGCTGCTCCTCGGAGCTGCTGCGCGCCGCAGAGCAGACGCACACCATCAGCAGCCAGCTCGGCATGGTGGCCAGGTGGGTCGCTGCAGGCAGGGACAGCCACCCCCAAGGCTGGTGGCCCCTCCTCAAAGGGATGTGCGTGGCGGTCTCCGGAGGTCCTTGTCAGACCCAGGGGTAGCCCTTAAAGCTCGGCTACACCCGACAGCGCTCCCTCTCCTCCTTTGGTCACCGTAAGCAGCCCTTTCCTCCCCCACCTTGTCTGCCTCTCTTTCCCCTGCACTCCACAGCTGGAAACCTGCCCCAACAGCGCAGGGGACACCTCTCTGGGCTTTGGAGTACCTGGCCACGCAGGAGAAGCCCGCTGGCTGATGCTTCTCCAGTAGTAAAATACTTCCAAAATCCTTTCAGGGTAAAAGCAGTCACTGCAGAGAGCAGGTCTGCTTCGGAGCTGCTCGTGAGCAACGCGCAGAACCTCCTGCAGGCCATTTTGCACGTTCTGAGGGCAGCCGAGGCAGCATGCATCAAGGTAAGTTAATGCTGAGGACACCAAATAGGTTTCACAAGGTAAGCCCGTGACACGGGGAGCTCCTACAGCCACATCGGGTTCCAGGGAGGTGGCAACTGGCTGCTGTGGGACCTCTGTCGACTCCAGCTAGGGGCGAGGATTGTTACTGTGATGTTTCTGTTTCACGCCTTTGCACCTCATTTCCAAAGCCTCCCGTGCCTCTTTCCAGGCATCGAATCTGCGCTGTCACTGCTACCAAGCTGGTCCACTTCCCATTTCATTTTTGGACAGGAGAGCAGCAGCATCTCACTGGAGGCCTTTACTCTGGAAATATTCCATGTCAGCCTTCGCCTTTCTGTTGTCTCAAGATGAGCTTTGATCAGAAGTCCCAAGAGCTCGCCTTGCAGCTGCCAACAGCGGCTGCCTGATCCAATTGTAAATAGTTTGTGAGAGCAGACTTTATCTGAAAGCACTTAGAAAACACGTACAAATACAACAACGCTCTGCACTGATGCAGTTTTTCTTTGTGGCTTAACCTCCGGTATAATCCTACAACTTTTGCTGAGCCCCAGCATGTCATTTTGAGAGGCAGTTTTGATTGGAATTTTATTGGATGGAGAATCAGCAGGCACTGAAAAGCTCCTCCTGTGCTCACCTGCCCATCCTGGTAGAAGCATACCAGGTACATCCATTTTTCACTCTGCTGATGCCAGCCTGAGCTAAGCAGCCATTCTTTTACCTTGATTGTCTAGATTACAAAGTCCTTCATGACCCAGCTTTTTCTCTTTAGAAATGCATGGATCTACTTACCAACATGCTAACTAGATGGCATTTTTTCCCGCTGTCTGTAAGCAGGTTTTTAAGCATTTTAAGTACTTTTTCAAGCATTAACTGTTAGAAATGCCACATTGATTGCACGCACATCATTACATTCAGACTTGTATATCGTTCAAGACATTTTAAACCAGTTCATGCACAACAAGATGTTCAAGTATTCAAACATTTTGTCTCCTACTAGGGCTTGCACCAGCCCCCACCTGACTCTGAAGAAGGGGCAGTAGCTGCTTTTTGTATTCAGTGGAGAAAAAACCTGTTGCGGCATAGAGCCGAGGAGTGTTTCAACTCAGAGAGGGACGAACTAGGCCTCCGCAAGACTCAGGCAAGGGCTGAGCCTACCCTCACAGCTATGGTACAAGGACAACCACCCCTGACCAAGAACAACCCCGGGAGTCTGAACCCTGTTCAAGGCCACGCACTTAGGGGCCGTCACCCCGAAAAGCAGGAAGGGATGTGTGCTGCGGATGAGCTGCATCGCCGGCTGGCCTCGGCAGAAAGAGCACAGCCAGTGCTGGACTCACCCAGCTCCCGGCCCTTCTGCTAGCGCTGCGCTCGTAGGACTGAAAGCACAAGGCCTGGAGAGGCTGTTGTGTGCTGGCTGCTCTGCCTATGGCAAACTCCACCTTGCAGACACTGCATCCTTTTGGCCACTGTATGGCAAGAGGAATAAAACGATGCCACACGCTGCTGTTATTTCCTAAGAGGCCTCTCCTCCAGCTGGTGTCTGAAGTTGGGTAACACAATGTGCTACTGAGCCACAGAGGACAAGGGAGCTGGGGAAGAGCCATCAGAGGAGCTTTGTGCAGGGACAGGGAAACCAGAGGGTTTCCTGTTGAGGAGAACGTCAGCATTCACGGATCTTTGTTACGTGGCATGTGAGCCATTCTAAAACCCTAAACCAGTGGCCACCGACAGGCCACCCGGGAATCCCATTCTTTATATTCACATCCTGCTCACTCCCTGCGGGCGTGAGATGGCTGGGGCTCTTACCTAGTCAGCCAGGCTTTTGGGGCCAGGGCCAGGGGGAACATTATAGAAGGAAAACATCGTTGGATGAGGTACCTTTATTACATTTCTTTCAGTAACTGCCAGTCTGCTGTGTTTTCCAGCACCTGAGATGAACAGAAGGATGTAGGAACATACCTGTAGCAGCACCAGCAAATCCGGCTGGGAGGAAGGATCGAGGGGTTCTCTAAATGCCTGTTTTGCTCATCCCCTGCACAAGAAAGCTTCAGAGCTGCGAGGCCTTTTGCAGCACCCTGATCTTTAGCACACTATCGAATTCCTCTTCAACTAGCGCTGTTGTGTAATTCTAACAGACACCATCCTATCAAGGGCGGCTGAAGGGGATTTGCAACAACCATCACCTCTTCTTCTAGGGGGTAACAATCCTAAGTGCTGCACACAAGTGCAGCCTGAGATACACGATCCTGCAAAAGAGTCACTGCACAGTGGGGAACTCACAGGCAAAACACAGATTCAGAAGGTAACGAGAACAAAGGTACTACAAAACCTGGAGGAAACAAGAACTGAATGAGAAGCAAGACTAAGGGATAGGGCCACTGACTTCTGAAATGCAAAACAAGCGTGTAATGAAATATTCTACACTTTGCAAGAATAAAATGACTTGATTTTTGTTATGAAGGATTCACATCAAAGTCTTTTCATCATAGTAGAAAAACAGCCTACCAAGGGAGGGTAAAAATCTCCTTACGAGTCCTGTTATCATGAATCATTTCACTCCTTCACATCTGCAGGGCCAGCAGGAGCATTTTGTCACTCCTGCTGCCCCTGACTCAGGGCATCCTACAGCCTGAGGAGAAATGAGACTTTTCTCCAAGATCCCTTTCAGCCCTAGAACTCTAGGGCCCACTGCTGCAGCCAAAACATTCAGTGCTGATGATCACCAACCTTGCAACTAGGAGCTTCTGGAGGATCCAGGATAACGATACCGGCTGCTCCCGCTGCTGCTCTCCACTTCACAGCCTCAGACAGCAGCTGCAAGTGTCCAAGGGAGACGCCACTCCGGCAGCATGCTGTGTTTGTGGAAGCGATGGAAGCAAGCCTCCCCTGCGAAAGACACAGTCAGTTCACACAGCAGACCAGATTTGACTTGTTTAGTGGCTGCCGCTCATTCCAGCCAACCTCAGTGGGGCAGGACTGTCCCCGCACACTTTCCTGCCCCTTCTGCTGGGCTCAGTCACCCCCCAGCACCTTCCCTTTCACTTATCAGGTAGGGCAGCACTGGCATCGCAGCAATGAATCTCCTCCGTGTCTCAGGAGAGTAGCAGCAGGCACACCAGATCAGCCTTGGATTCAGGGAAGAAACCTGCAAGGAATAAACCAGTGAGCGTGGGTGGGCAGGAGAGCTGAGCAGCAGCCCATGGGCGCTTGTGCTGCCCAGTGGGAACTGCTGGAGCAAGGAAGGAAGGGGTTACACAGGGAGATGACAGGCTGCAGGGACAAGCTAGCTCCTTTCAGATCACATTTCCTTCTTACCTTGTCCCCCTTCTTGCCCAAAATAAAGACCTGCATTGTATTAAAGGCACTGAGACGGCAGTGGATCTCTAAGGTTAGAAACTAGCACACCACAGCCCCCTGTCAGAACACATCCCCTTTTCATCTGCAGCTCCAAAATGGATCCGCCACCCAAGGTCCTTCAATTATCTCAACTGGTATCATTTTGTCCTTGGTCTTAGGCTTTCCTTTACCCCTTCTTTTCCCAATACATTCAAAAGAAAGAGAAACAAACGAACAAACAACAAGCAAACAAAACAACAATAACAAAAATGAGTTCAGTTTAGTGACGATATCCTCACTGCCCTGTGGAAGCTGTAACTTGAGGTTACGGCCACCCATCCTGCAAGCATGGACTAATTACCTTCCACATCTGAACGTGAAACCACACATTTGGCTTCAATATGGACTTACTCCTTTTTCTCTTTATTCCCCTGATCAATCCACGTGCTCTTTCCAAACTATTTCTATTTTTCCCTGCTGTTCAATGCTGGCTCATTTTTTACTGAAATTCTTTAACAACCAAACCTGTCATCAGATGAAGAAGCAATAAGTAATTAAGCAGGACTAGTGGATTTCTCCAAAATAACGTTGACATTTTGTGTCTAGTTCTCCATTATCTAGTTCTCAATTATTGCAAGTGCTATTTAAAATACCATTTAATTAATACAGTTTCTACTCTGCAAAATTGGGAAGGCAAATTGAAACCATGATTGCCTTCAGCAACGTCTCCCCTGCCACGTTTTGCACACAGAAACCAACAGCTTCACTGAGCTCATCCAAGCTCTGCTCAGCAATGCAGGAGCCAGCTCCCGTTCCTGCCTGCATCGCTGTGTGTCTCAAAGGCTCAAAAAAACAAAACCACAGAAGTTGTGATAACCATCATGCCGTCCCGGTCACAAGTGTTCCCTGGGCCAACAAAGAAGGAGGAAAAGGTCCACCGAGGAAGAGACTTAATGCAAAGAACCATTCCACGTGGGCGGGAACCAGGTGGCAATTGAGCAGAACGCAGATTTTTATTTTCAGTGTAGCTAGCTAGGTATGACTACATTTCCGCTAGATAAAAAACAAACCAAAAGGTAAAACAAGAGAGGCTTTGAGGACGGTTGTGCTCTGGGCATGCAACATCTTCAGAAATTAAAGAACATGCTCGACATTTCCCGTAGCGACGATGATCTTTGTAGTAAGGGAACAATGACGACACGAGCGTGATCCTGGCACCACTCGGCAAGCTAACTCACTGGGACTCAGCGCAAGGTCTGCTTCAAACCCCACTGCCATCCGACTGGAAAGTGGCCAAGTGGCTGAGCTACAGGCAACTTTAATCACCTTCATCCTTCAGACACCCCCTCTGCTGGTACTCCAGCCACCAGCTAGCTGCCATCACATCAACATCACAGTCGTTACCAGACTTTAGCTGTACCCTTTTTAATTTTTTGTTAAAAATGTCATAAAGACACAATGAATACAAGTACTGCAGTTACATCAATACAAAAAAAGCAATACAAATTAAGCAGCTGAATACAAAAATACATTGAAATACATGAACACCACAATGTAACTTATATCACTAATCAGAATTGTGTATGCGTGAAAAAATTAAATAAAAACCTTTTTTGTATTAGACAACTTAGGTATTCTCCACTTTTAACAGTAACTTTCTTCTAGTTATGTACTTCACAATTTCTTCTATATACAGCATAGAATAAAATACTTTTAAAAGATATGACATTTTTACTCCTCAATATGTGATATAGGTCTCTTTTACACTAAGAATATTGACTGCATGAATAAAAACCAATGTCTTACATCAACTGATCTGAAAAGGAGGATCAACATTTTCCTTTTAAATCATTTATGCATACTTCCGTTAGTAAGTTTGGCTTGATGCGTCAGACAATCCTTGTCAAACAGTGTCTCTCACAGTAATGTACATAATATTGCTTGTATCTATACAATCATACAAATGTGGCAATCATATCTAAATGTTGTTTAGGAAAGAGACAGCTCACACATATACAGGTCTTCAGACTTTCTTAATGACTTATTTACAATGAAAGTGCTTTTATCAGCTCTAACACGATACAGGTTTGTTTTTTTCTACATGTCAATTATTAGTCTCCCTGAAATTGGAAAAAGTATTATATAGAAAATACCACAGCTTTGCAAACACTATAGCATACTGTATAACTGCATGTGGTTCTGAGATTAGCAGCTGAAAAGTGTTGATAATTATAATTTAAAAATAAATAAAGCAAAGAGGTAAACCAGTTACAAAACAGCAGAAAACTGCAATATTCACAACAGTAAAAAGACTTAAAATCAATTGCTAACAAAATGGTGAAGCAGTTGGATCGAAAGTCTTGAAAACATCTTTTAGCGACTTATCATCTGATTCCCCATTCGGATCGTTATCCTGTGTCTGAGTTACCTGTCCAGGCTGTCTGACCTGCCTCGGATCGCTGTACTGCGGTCTGATTAATCCTGATAAAGCTTGGATAGGAAGATTATGCACCGCAGGTGCAGCGCTGGAGTGTTTAGCCTGAGATTTACTGGTGCTATTTGCTTTATCTGAAGTGGCTTCTCCTGATCCTTCCGTATTTTTCTCCACGTTCAAGGCAGGCTTGGGCAGTGACGCATCTTCCGAGAGACTGGGTTCATTTTTGCCAGAGTTTTTCAAAATACTTTTTTTCTGGTTCTCCCCGTTCTCTCCTGAAGTAGCTGGAGCTGTGTCCAACGACGATGAGCTGTGGTCTCTCGGATCATACAAGCTAATACCGCTCAGTATCGAGCCCGGAGTTCCCAGCCTGACACCACTTGACGACAACTTGGGCGCGTAGGGAGGCAGAGCATCGGGGTCAGGCTTAGCGGTCGCAGCTTCCGAGGTCTGCGAGGAACTGGCAGCAGATCTGGCAAGGCGGGGGTCAAATTTGGAAGGGTGCGAATCCTTTGCAACTCCATGATGCGAATCTGCACTAGACAGTCTGTGGAGCCTGGGATCAACGTTTTTTTGTAAGCGAGGGTCTCCTAATTTGCTTGAGCTACTGGTGTGCGAATCCACAGACTGATCCAGATAGCTGCTCCTGCCCGCTAAGTTGTTCTTTGCTTTCGCAGCTAGTCTTGGGTCAGCTGGCATTGCATTTGGATGGGGATCATTTTTCAGATTCCGCAGTTTATTAAGTCTCTGGTCAGCAATGAGTGGAGGAAGAGGTAAATTAATTGAGGAGACGGGGTCGGGCTTAGGCAAAGGTACTGGGAGCAAGTCTTCGGGTGCCCACACAATATGCTTAGCAAAGTTTGGTTTCATCAGGGTAACGTCCATTTTAATGTGACTGAACTGCCTAAGCTGCGATCGGGGATCCCTCAGTGTTACACCAGGCAAAGGTTCCAATGGTATGAGAAAAGCTCGTTCTCTCAGTTCTCTTTCTGAGTCCTCTTCATCATCATCCATCCCTTTTTGCTTGACTTTTACACCGGTGTGAGGGTGGTGTAAGTCTAGCTTTGCTCCCCCAAGAGATGAGCTGGCATGCCCACCCTCATTAACCTTGTGCATCCTGGGGTCTCGTGCAAGCCGAGGGTCCAAGGCTGCGGATTCTGAAGGCTTTCTGGGGGTCGACCTTGGCGAGGCCCTAAGTCTTGGGTCTGCAGCCTGAGGCCCTGCACCTTTGTCTTTTGCCAGCCTCGGATCAGTAGGAATACCAAGCATGTGCTGCTCTGTGGAATGCTGTTGCCGATTCCTGAAGTTTTCACTTTGCTTCTTCAAGGTTTTTAGTATCGATTTAACACTGCTCCCCTCTTCTTCTTCACTACTGGAGTACCAGTTGACATTGTCATCTGAGAAAAGAGGATTCAAGTAAATGATCACTGGGGAA